AAGGAAGGAAGGAAGGAAGGAAGGAAGGAAGGAAGGAAGGAAGGAAGGAAGGAAGGAAGGAAGGAAGGAAGGAAGGAAGGAAGGAAGGAAGGAAGGAAGGAAGGAAGGAAGGAAGGAAGAAGTTTGAGTTTAAAAAATAATTTATTACACACTCCAACAGTCAATAAAAAACTTTAAAAAACGCGTTAAATAAAACAAATCAAAAAGTAAATACTAAAGATGATTCATCCACTGACTGAACACAAAACATCATTAATACCCCACTTACTTACAAAGACATCCGTGTTCTTTGTCAACTTAAAATACTCAAATTCCACACGAACTCGAGCAACAACCAGTCTCTGAAATAAAACACAAGCATCATCTGTTTGATGCCGATTGATTTTGTTCTTTCTTGATATCCATATTGCTAGTTTAGCAATCCCAGAAATGAAATTCAAAAGAATGTGAACTGATTTTTTCTTTGCACAGTACCGTGGACCATAAATAAAATTACAGTTGGAAAACAGTACATCCTATCCACTAAACAGATTATCTAAAAGAACAAGAAGAGGGTTCAATCTTGAACATTCAATAAAAATATGGTGCAATGTTTCTTCCTGAGAACAATAAGGACATGAAACACTAATGTCAGGATTAAGGTGTGCCAGATACCTGTTTGTAGCTATAGCCCCATGCACAATCCTCCACTGGAGGTCACCCACCCGTTTCTCAATGGGGGTTTTGTACAGGGACCGCCAACAGCCTCTCAGAGCAGAGCTGGTGTCAAAAAACTCAGTCCACTTTGACACCCTCACTTCTGCCAGCGAGCATAAATTCAGAACCTTCAAATACAGTACAAGACTTTTTTCCCCAAGCCTTGAAAACATCCTAGTGGTGAGTCTTGGAGAGACAGCACCTTTTCTGTCTCATCCTGCCACTGCAGGAGAGACAATTAAGGAAGGAAATGCATACTCATATTCATCATCCCATTGATCAGACAGAGTACTATTAACAGCAAACGCTCTGATGGAATCTGGCAGAGAAGCACAGACTTCTTCTTTCAGCCTTAACACAAGTCTGTTAGATCGCACCTCTAGACGCTCAGTGAGACTGGACACAGACAGCTTCATTAGATGACCCAGCTTCACACAGCCCACTTCTCTCATCTTAGATCTCAACGTAACAGATGAGAGCAGCTGTGACGAGAAGAAACTTTTTTCAAACAGACGTTCTTCAAAAACCCACATACCAGGTGTCATATCAGTCTTTCTCTCAAAGGTGAGGATCTGCCAAGCATTTAAAACGGATTGGTAAAATGGCGTGAGACCTGTTAAGTCCAAAGATCCTTGTCGCAGCAGGAAGCGATGTTTATCGTAGCCAATACGTCCTGCTTTCCTTAGCAGAAGACGCGCAGTATCCAGCCATGTTAGTCCAACACCTTATAAAAGTTTCTGCGATGTTTGAAGCCTGAAAGCCGTGATCCGTGAGGTTATGTCTATGAGTCCTTGCCCTCCCTCCTCCACTGGCAGGTACAAGGCTGCAGCTGTCACCCAATGTCATCCAGACCAGAAGAAATCCACTAGAGTCCTTTGGATACGTTGTATGAGAGAAGATGGTGGTGTTAGAACAGTCAGTTTATGCCAGAGGGCCGAAGCAACCAAGTTATTAACAACCAGAACCCTTCCCCTGCAAGACAGCTGAGGCAGCTCCTGTATGTTCTGCTTTTTGTTGGTTTATTTTGAAAATTACAATCTGTTTTTTTTTTTTTTTTTTTTTATTACAATCTGTTTTTTACTAAAATAATCATCAAAAAATAGAGTACAAACAACAACAATAAAAACATGCTCTCCACCACACAGCGATAGAAGCTCCTCAGGACAGCGCTCCCAAATCCAGCTCTGCACAACTTCCTGAGGAAGTAGAGACGCTGGTTGGCCTTCTTGACCAGACAGGAAGTGGCTCTCCAGGATATATGCACCCCCAGGTACCTGTAGCAGGAGACCACCTCCACAGCTGCTCCTCCCATGCAAGTAGGTATCTCTGCAGCCAAATTCTGAAGGCGTATCTGGGCGGTCATATCTGATTGGACTATAGGAAAATGGGCGTATCTGGGCGATCATATCTGATTGGACTATATGAAAATAGGCGTGTCTATAAATGAAGGAATTTGTGCATTCAGGTAATTGAAAATTAAGTAATTTCTCTAACATCCAACCCATTTTAGCCACTGAGCCATACCAAACACCCATAATCTATTCTTGAATGAATTATTGACTATTATTGACAAATTACAGACTTTTTATTGAATAAGTTATTACTCATTATTGAGTAATGAAAGTCACCATCAGATGTTGGTCAACATTGTTGGGCAACATCTTGGGGTCTTCTAGTCAGTCTGAAGTGAGAGTGGTCCCTGACATGGCAGAAAGACATAGATATAATTAACAGCTTTTATTTATTTATTTTTCAGCTAATAACAACTTTTATTTATTTGTTTTTCATATTTTTCAGTTATACACAGCTTTTAAATATTTATTTTTCAAGTATTAAGAACTTTTATTTTCAGCTTTTATTTTGAAAAGGAGCCGAGTGGAGGCTCACTTTACCTCAGTGCGTTACGACAACAACGAGAGAACGGTCGAAACTATCGTGACCTACAATAAACGTACTTCAATAAAATGCATAAGTGAAAACATAACATACTTTATAAGTACAATAAACCATATTTCTTTGTCAAACATCGCAAAGAAACATTACCTCATCAATGACTCGTGACTTTGAGGGTTACCCACAGCCAATCAGTGTTCGCCGCCGACAAACGCCTATTAAATACTGTTAGCCAATCAGTGTTCGCCGCCCATAAATGCCTATTCGCCAGAAACGCCCACTTTTGGTCTGCAGAGAACCCCTTCTCCTCCCATGTGTAGGGGATGAAGAGGATGCTTCTCCCTTCTGAAATCCACCACCATCTTCTTGGTTTTCTTCACACTGATGCAAAGATTATTGTCTCTGCACCACTGCACCAGGTGTTCCACCTCCTCTCTGTAGTTGGACTCATCATTCTTCATGATGCATCCCACTGCTGCTGCGTTGTCCTCAAACTTCACTATATAGCAGCTGGGGTGTCTGGCCGAGCAGTCATATGTCAGCAAATTGAACAGGAGGGGGCTCAGCACACAGCCCTGGGGGGAGCCAGTGCTGAGGGTGATGGAGGAGGAGATGATGTTGTGGATCCTCACAGTTTGAGATCTATTGGTCAGGAAGTCCAGAATCCAGTTCCCCAGTGTGGGACTCAGTCCAAGAAAGGAGAGCTTCTGCACCAGGGAACTACGTGTACACGTGACAAGACGCATAGATGTTGCAACCATTATATGTGAAGGGGACATTGCCCCGCCCCCATTGCCCACACACATGTGCGCGCACACACACACACACCTACACACATCGGTGTGCCCCCCCCCACATTACGGATGCTTTCGACGCCCTTGACAAGACGCGATTGGTCGACGCGGTAGCAGCTAGCTGAAGGCACTCTACTGGCTAACTACGTGTACAAGTGACAAGACGTGATAACAGGGCTGCACAGAAGTCTGTTGGAGTCAGCCTCTCCACCATCACAGCCATCTACACCTCCAGATGCAGGAAGAGGGCCACCTGCATCATGAAGGACCCCACTCACCCAGCACACACTTTTTGCTCCGCTCCCCGCAGGAAGGAGGTTAAGGAGCATTAAGTGTAGAACCACTAGACTGAGGAACAGCTTCTACCCTGAGGCTGTTTGACTCATGAATCTCTAAAAAAAATCACATCGTGTTGCTGCTGATCTGTTTAATGCTGCTGTATTCATTCGTGCTCATCTGCTCACACAGACTCATGTTCGTGCTGCTGTTCTGCGTTTTTTCATTTTATTTTATGCTACATAGTGCTTAATGTGATTTAATGTTTTTCTTAGTTCATATCTTAGATCTTATTACTGCTTTTCTTTTACATTTTAATACTTTTGTTGGATGTAATTGGGACGTTGTGCACGCAGGTGAGTGTGTGTGTGTGTGTGGGGGGGGGGGGGGGGGGGGGGAGTCTTGGTGGGGAGGGGGGGGGGTTGAGTTCTGTTGACGGGGTGAGGCATGGTAGCGGAAACACTGGGTTCTATTTTGAACTTTTGGAAGAAGCGGGTAAAAGACAATGGATGGATGGATGAAGTTTTCTTTGAGAACAAAATAAAACGCGGAAGGCTCTCATTAACAGCGTTCGCGTATGACATTTTTGGCCTTTGTCGTCTCCCGTAGAGAGGTTGAAACGGTCACGTGATCAAATTGGGATCACGTAGTTCCTGGAACAGACGAAAACAAAACAAATGACAGCCGACAAGCAGATGACCATTACTGCGTGACATTGTCTTCGAGGCATCGAAATCGTATTTTAATAACGTGAACAACAATCTTAAAAACATTTTGGAGCAGAAATCCTGCGTTACGATTGAACAACTGGACATTAACCTACCTAGCTTAGCCTTGTGGACTTTCACCAGCAGGAACTAGTCTCGTTTAAAAAAAAAAAATCTTTGGACACCATGTTTACCTTAAGCGACATACATGAAGCTGCTTTTCTGACTTGGTCTGTCGAGGCGTTTTCCCAAGAGGAAATATAATAAACAGTGACTTGTTTACAGCCAGCGACAGTCCTTATCTTGACAGCACAGACAGGAACTTCTGTTTTCCATATAAAAACATACGATGACTTGTTTTCAGCTGATCAATAGTTCTGAAATGATCGTTTCCGCCGGGAGGCTCTTCGGGAGGCTGTGATCTGAGCTGATCAGGCTCTTAAAATGGAGGCTGTAAGGACAAAGAAGAGCAAAACAAAAAGCAGCGGAAAGTCTCAGGTGATTATGTACACCCAAAACTGATCTGATGATTGACTTGGTTATTTTCTTCTGCTCACGTCTTCTGCACGCAGATTAATTAGGGTCTAGTTGTGCTGTCGGACAGTTTTTGGCTTCCATCACATCTGCCTGATCAAATTTAATGTTTGGTCCAACATTACAGGTAGAGGTAGTTAAGTTTTATGTTTCTTCCAAGGAACAGAATTTCTTGTGATCTTGAGTGATGTGGCTCAGTAGTTCTCTGGGATTTTTAAAGGCCTTTTTGAAACTTTTTCTTTTGGACTCTGGCTGCTTTTTCACACATTTTCTGTCATATCATTGTACCTGACCTTATTGTTCAATGTGTGTTAAAATAATGAAAACTGTGGACAAGTGAAAGATAAAGTCAGAAACATTTTTTAATAGCATGAACGGTGTCTTAAAGTCGCTTATTTAAGACGTGGTACACAGAAAGACCTGACCCAGGACCTGAGAGATATCATCATCCTTCAGATGATCATGTCTTTTTTTATTTTGTTTTGAGGAATCGCCATGTTGGCACTAAAACACTCTTACATCTCAACTTGTTATTTTTATAGATTCAACTAAAGAAATTAAAAATATGTATCATGATATCAGGATGCTACTAACAAGATAGTTGATTATTAGATTTAAATAGGTTTATTTGATAAGTTGTCAACTATTGGCTATTCAACTAAATCTCTCAGGGGGGCACAGTTACTGAAAGTGAACATCTCAATGGCCAGGCAGAAATTAATGTCATTACGTTAATTTTATATTTTATTATGTTTCTTTCTCTAATTTTTCTTTCTAATTTAAAAACTAGTTTTATTTTAAATTAACTCATAGATGGCCGAACTTGACTCACCCCATCAGCTGGATGTGGCCCCCTGGGCCGCTAGTTGAATAGTACTGCTGTAATGTGTCTTTTTATGCCTGAATAACTTATAGATCAAAGTTAAATGTTTAACAAACGATCAAAAAAACTTATTAAATACTAATTTAAAAGATTACAAGAAAGGCTAACTTCATGGCAGCATGGAAATAAAGAAATCCAGGAATACTCAGGACTTTCACAGTAATATTTCTTAGAAACTCAAAATAATCAGTAATTCTTGAAAATTGCAAAAGTTTCACAACATCCTCAAAATGAATAAACATTGCTGATTTACAAAGACAGAGCCAGTTGTAGGTAGGTGAGAGTCACAAATTATTGTTTTTACCACTTTCATAAAAATGTTTGCTGCAGTCGCTGTTTTTGCTCGAACTAAATGTTGTGCTAAAAATATATAAGCAGTACTATGATGCATGCATATGCCATCAGTGCAAATCATACAGTATGTATGAACCTAAAAATGTAAGTGCATTAATTTAAGGGGCCATAACCTTTTGAGTAGTCGTGTTTTATTTTTATTTTATTTTTTAATGAAATGTGAAAAAAAAATTCTAAAATACAAATTAACCAATGCACATAAATGTACATGTGTGTCTGAATAGTAAGTTCTGATGATATGCACTTTATATTTTGACAAGATGAGTAATTTGTCAAGTAAAGTTAATTTTGTTTCTGACTGTTTGTGTTCTCAGCAGGTCAGGAAGCAGAAACAGGCTGACGAGGAGAAAAGAGCCGCAGCTCCACCTTCTCTCTGTGATGAAGCCTCCAGCTCTGGCTTCACTGAGATCCCCCTCAGTCTGCCTCCTTGTCCTCCTCCTCAGGAGACCCTGGAGGAGAAGGAGAATCCTGTCCAAAGTTCCAACACAGCAGCACAGCCTGCTGAGTCACAACAGACCCCCTCGGTGTCGACCACATCACATTTAACTACGACTCTACAGTCAGGCCTGAACTTGTCAGCAGTGATGCCAAAAGAGAGAGCTCACCAAGCAGAGTCAGACAAAGAAGTAGACAAAGATGGTGGGGTGGGAGGTCCAGGGATTGATCCTAAAGTTGCACAAAGAACCATTGAGCCAGAGAATGACTTGCACTTGTGGAATCAAGCTTTTGTTACAGCTCAGTTTGACAACCTGAGTGCCCCTGCTTTGTACCCATCTCTTCCAAAACTGGAGGAGGATTCTGCGATACAGCTCTGCGAGGAAGCTGTAAAAAACTGTGGAAGGGAACCTGCTGTGTTGGCGCTTCCTGAGCAGGAGTCTTCTCCTTTGAGTCTGCAGCCTCTGAAATCTGTAGCTGAGCTTTCAAGGAGCAAACTGTACCCAGAATTACCCAAAACGGCTCCAGAGATGCAGGTAAAGCACCAGGAGATAGCATCGTGTTGCTGGGAACACAAAGATTAAAGTATCGAATAATATTGTAAATGTGTCTTCTGTTAGTTGTAGTCAAATAAGTGCACGTGTCGTTAAATAATTTGTATTTATCTTGTAATCCTTGCGGGAGCCTACATGTTTTAATTTTCATGTCTTATTTCTTCTTCAGGCATTTTCGCTGGAGCAGCTGAGGGTCTGGGAGCCAAGCGGCGGGTTGCGATCATGGCTGGAAGGTGTGGAGCTGTGTGCCACCCAGTTCTGTGCTCTGGCCCATCAGGAGAACCATGAACTGACAGAACTTCTACAGAACTACTGGCGCTGCCGCAGACAGCTGAGCCAGTCGCACACACAGCTGCACACCCAGTCGTCAGACTGCAGGAGCACACAGAATCGCCTCTGGAGCTTCAAAGATGAGCAGCTCAAGCTTCAGGTGTTTCGTTATTGTTCGTCTTTGAATCAGTGAATGAATTATGCATTAAATAAACCTTTATGGGGACATTATTAATGATGATTGTTCTTACAGGGGGTGTGTGCAGACCAGTGTAAGGTGTGTGGATACCATCGTTTCCAGCAGGCAGAGTTTAGTCGGAGCGTTTGGGCCGAGCTCCAGGTTCTGTTTGAGAGTTGCAGTGAGCTGCTCCACCAGAGAGTGGTGCTGCATGCCTACACCACTCTGCTGTCCCGCCTGCAGGTCGAATCATACCTGTATCGCCTACTGAAAGGTGGGAACTTTAACGAGTTTCTTGTGTCAGAGTTCCAGTAACAGAAGGGTTCGTGATGTAAAGCAGACACACTTTGTTTTCTGTTTTCAGATTACTCTGGAAGCCAACTGCAGCCTTGTTCTCTTCAACCCCTGAAAGAGGCCATCAGTGTCCTGTTTAGTTTCACCCGTAGAGTCCTTGATGACGCACAGTTCCAGACGGACATCCATCAGTGGCTGGAGCGACTGGTAAACAGCTACGTCGTGTTACAGACTTCGTTTTACACTGGGTGAATTTTTTTTTTATTGTTTGGAATTTTATATTTGTTCCTACTCTCCCTTCTGCAAGGTCGTCATCTTGTTGCACGTTGGAGGGTCAGAGGAGCACTTTTACCTGCTGTGCCATCTTTTATGCTGCCCTGCTGGGGTGGGAAAGTGGGCTACACCCTTCCTTCAAGTAAAGGACGCATATATTACATTTTGTATTGCTGTGTGCACAGTAGACTTGAGTGTTTTATGAATTTATTTTAATCTGCGTCAGATTCAAGTGTGGAGGACCAGCTCAGGAGTGCAAGACTTCATGCAAGCTTTAGCCATCCTAATGTCACCTGCCAGGTACATTTACGAATTTCCACAGCAGCTCTTACCTGCCGACAGTATTTAATAAAGATATGCCTCCTGTTTCCTTTGAGGATCTCCTCACAGTTTTACTCCTTTAATCTGTTTCCTCTCAGGCACCGGGCAGAGTTTCTGGGTCACATGAAGCCATGCGAGAGCCAGACTTCAACAACGTCAGGACCCCAGTCTGGCAACTGGACCCTCGTTGACGAAGGTGGAGAGGAGGTACATGGATGAGCAGCAACAAACTGTGTTTTAAAGGGAAAACAAAAGCTAAATGACTGCTTCACAGATTTTAAACAAATAATGATCTAAATATGGCAGCTGTGTTATTATGTAAGATGTTTTTATTGCCTGCCATCGGTGGCAGAGTGGTAATGTTTTGGTCTGTGTTCTTTTATTTGTACTGTCAGTAAAATATCTCAAGAAGCGCTGACATGAAGTGTAATGAAACTTTCAGAAAGCAGTCATTCAGTTCACATCTACAACTGGTTTGGACTCAACACAGTTCAAGATGGCTGCCTTAGACAACTCACCTTAGTAAACACAACAATAGCTAATAATCTATTTGACAGATATTGAGCTACAGTTTAATGTTGTAGTAGCTGAGCATAATCTCTCACACATAGTTTGAGGGCAACATCTCGTGATGCATTTTTGTCTAAAACTAGCATTATTTGTTGGAGTTAACCCTGGTTGTCTGTTAGCAAAATATCTCTTAAACAACTGGGTTGATTTTAATGAAACTTTCAGACAGTAATTATCGGCTGTATATGGCCACCACAGACTTTAACCAACACAAAAATGGCTATACCTCTGTCAGTTTTACAGATAGTGCGCTAAAATTTGTTGTGGTAGTAGCTGAGAGTCATTGACAACACACATTGAGCTCTAACGGATCTTGTGAGATTACTCAGGATGTTGCATGAAAGTTCACATGATGTCATTCTCTAGGTTTGACCAAAACAACTACGACTTTGTCGTTTTTCAACATAAGAGGATTTTAGTCTAGAACTTTTCATGAAAGGAGACGAGTGATTCACATTTCCTCAAAGAATGCTAGGCCTTTTATTGTTGAATAAAAATGACTTTACTTGCACTTGTTATGGAAAGATTTTAAGCTAAAGTCTTAAAAAAATACTGTTTTTTGTTTTCCCTTTCATATTATAGTGGGGTTTAAAGTGCATACTGGTTGTCATTTAAAAAGTGTTTTTGTCTGAGTTGTTCATAAATGTAGGCTGATTTTAAAAACTAAATGTTCTCTTTTTTTGTCTTGAAGAGCTGGATCTCACTTAACACCACAAAGAGACCGAACACGAATGACTTTTTAAATATCAGTCTGCTTGCTGGAAACTGCAACTGCTGCGCTGTTATTACCGTGTTATTTAAAAACCTGCTTTGTTCATGTTCCTAATAAAAGCTCAGTTTGAACAAGTGTCAGATAAGGACTCAGGACTGAAGGTTTACAGTGCTGTCCTGCTGCTTTGTGTGTTCAGGATGATGACCCAGAGACCAGCTGGTTGCTGCTCTGTGAGGAGGATTTGATCTCCCTGCTGAACCAGTTCCCCTTCCAGCAGCTTTACTCGCACATGCTAGGGATGAGCAAGCAGGGTAAGGAAGTCTAGCCCTGCTGTATGTTTTGTGTTTCTATCATAATTACATGAGCTGACAGACGACTCTGCTTCCAGGTGTGTATGAGCCCCAGGCCTGCTCCAGTCAGAGGATGATGCGCGTCTTTGCCTTTGCTTCCTCGCTGATTGAAATCCTCTCTCTTGGTTTGCAAACCTATAACAGAGCGCAGTACAGGCAGCTCGTCAAACGAATAGGACACATCATACGGTCAGCGCACAACTGATGGGAGCGACATCTGGACCAGATGCAGCAACACAGCCATCAAAACTAAACTGTTTTTCTGATTTGTTTTTCAGTATGACGGTGTGTTATGTGAGTGATCACTGGGCCCAGTATGTGAGTGTGAACGATGCTGCTGGGTCCAGCTCTCTTGTTCACTCCATGTCTTTGGACAAACTGCAGCTGGAATATGATCATCTCTTCTTCAGGGCTGTTTTACACGTTCTCAGAAATAAAAGGTGGGAGCAACTGGCCTCAAGTGCTCATCTTAAGTGAAAGGGATTTTCTTTACAGGCTGGTTCAGCAGTCACACAGTTGCCTTCCTGTTTTGCATTTTTCCAAACAATTTTTCAATCTACCGTAACTGCTTCTGCATGCTTTGTGTTATCTTACCTATTCATTAATTAAAATGTTCTGCTCATTCAGGAGATGCTGGGTGTTATGATTTCTGTTTTTGTTACTTTATTTACATATTTTCTCCATAGAAATACATTTAGATTTCTTTAATCCCTTCCAAAACTTTGCTGTCCCTCTTTTAGCAAGGTTTTACTACTTTTAGCTAATCCATTGCTGCTTTTAGCTTATGTTTTGCTACTTTTATTTTCTAGCTATCACTTTGCTATACAGTAGTCCCTCGCTACTTCGCGGTTCGTTTTTCGCGGACTCGCTCTTTCGCGGTTTTTCAAAGTAAGATTGGACATGACACCCAATTGGCTGATTGATGGATGAGCCACAAGATCGGCATGGCATTTTTATTTAAAATCAATTATTTTAAATGATTTAGCACCTGCTGCACACAGTGGTACATGTGGTGGAACAACATTGTGTAAACAGGGTCCTAGTTACATCCAACAATAAAATGTAAAAGAAAAACAGTAATAAGATCTACGATATGAACTAAGAAATACATGAACTAAAAATACGCTAAGCATTAATAGTGTAAGAATAATGCAATAAAATAATCATAATAAAATAATAATAACAAAAATAATGCAAATTAGCTGCATTTCAAAAGTAATCGCTGCCTCAGTGCTCCGGGAGCACGCAGAGGGAGGAAATCAGGAAGGAGGAACGCTGTGCATTTCTTCAAAATTTAATAAGATAACTACCTAAAAACAATTATTTGTTTGCTCAACATTATAGTAAAGGTGTGTCTCAGTTGAACTTTTACTTAATAAATGCACTTCAATGGTCAAATCGGCTTCATTTCACTGGGGCGACGCAGCGAAATGCAGCTGATTTAATGGTTGCTCCAGGCATGATCCCAGAGCTGGATGAAGGTGGCAGGCTATGGCAAGCCATACTACTTAAGTGCCATCTAGTGGCTGAAAATGGTAGTGTTCAATATTTTCATTGTCAACATGAATGAAAACGGTTATATCTCAGCCAAAAATTGGTTTATAAATATGGAAAAAAAAAACATAAATAATTTGCTTCAGTGTATAAGTCGCAGGCATGCTAATTATGCAAAAAAAACAACTGGGACTTATAGGCTGGAAAATATAGTACATAATTTTGTTCCATCTCATGTACCACATGAAATGGTAATGACAATAAAGTTTACTTGAACTTGGACTACTGTACTTAGCAGTTTTTCACTTATCGCTGGGGGGTATGGTCTCAAACTCCCGTGATAAACGAGCAACTGCTGTATTTAGCTATAGCTAGCTTTTTGTTACTTTTGGATACTTTCAATGTCTTTTAGCTTTTAAAAAAACTAATTTACAACATCTTCAGCTAAATTCAGAAAAGTAATTCAGCACTCCCACTGCATTTTGACAGAAAAAAGCTTTTTTTTTTGTTCATTTATGGTTTTATCCTCGCAGGTTGGGCATTTGGTTGTTTATGTCGGAGATGCCATATGGGACTCTGTCCAGCTCTATGCGGTGGAAAGTCCTTTATGTGATGCAATGTGCAGAAACAGCAGGATTGGAAACACTCAGCACAGTTGCAGACACACATTCCTGCATTCAAGCTCTCAGAGGTATCATTTACATATTTAACGAGTGATAATATATCCTTTAAGCATAAAACATTTTCAATAAGCATGTGTTGTATTAATACTTGGATGCAGTTTTTGTACTTTAAGCTCAAATTCTACTACACTTGTCACTTCTGTCACATTTGAAGTCTAAAAGTACATCTTTAATTTGTGTAAGCTTGAAGATGTCAATTTGTGTTTTTATTTTTGTAACATTTTGTGGGTGTTAACAGACCCAAACCACCAGGACAGATTTGAGCGATGGCTGTGTGAGGTGAACAGCTCCGATGGCATCTCCCTCCTCACTGCACTCGCACACATGGCCACACCAGTTCAACACTTTGACCCCGCTTTCATCACAACCATCACTCTGCTGATCTATCAGGTATGGAAAGAGCTTTAAAAATAAAATGCTAGAAGAACAAATTTTAAGAAAATGGGGGATTTTATAACATTGTATCTGTAAAATGGATTTAATTGTCTATGTTTGTACACAATGAGCATTTCACCCATTTTCATCTTGTCACAGTTTGTAGATGCTGCTCGTTGTTTCTTTAAGATTTTTGAGAAAGTACTTTGGTTAAAGAGGATCCTTTCTTGTCCAATGCAAATCTGTTTCACTTCCTAGTTCCTGTTTTTGCCCAGGTGTCTTATGTCAGTGTGTCTACCAGAGAAACTTACTCTAAGGTGGGGAGGGAGTTGCTGGCTGTCGTAGCTACAGCCCATCCCCATGTTATCTCTGTGCTCCTGGAGAGACTGAGAGAGACCATACAGACTGTTGGAATGGTTAGGACCACTTTTTCAAAACTGCAAGTTGTCTCAAATCATTATATGTGTGAATAGAGTAAAAAATAAATAGAAGTGTTATTCATGAGTTTTTGTTTTGTATGGTTTAGATGGCTTTGTACTTGTGCAAAGAGCTGCCTCTGAGTTTGTGGAAGCCGCAGCCAGAGGAAATATCTGTGATTGGAGCCTGGTTGCTCCAGCACCCTTTGTCTGCAGTGGAGAACCGGTTGGCTTGTGTTATCCTGGAGGGTCTCAACTGGGGTTACACACAGGTACTCATGGGTCCATTGAATAGTTTCGGAGATTCTTAAAAACCTGATTACGAGTTATACCTTCCTGACCTATTTTGTTTCTCAGGACGGGCTGTTGGCTCTGCCCTCCATCCTCCACAGTGAGGTGGCTCTGCTGGTGGCTGAAGCCTATCAGAAGTATCTCACAGATAAACCAAACAGTGGCCTCATTTCAGAAGGAATCAAACAGGTCTGTTAACAGCAGGATCCTCGTTTATCTGATTGACGCTCACTTTCATTATTCATTATTATATATTTGTGTGTTTCTCATCCTTCTCTGTTTTCTCCCTTTAGGTGTCCTACCTGGCCAGCGTCCTTCGTTTGGGTGTGTCTCCTGAAGCATCTTTCAGTCAGTGGGCATGGCAGATGTTGCTGCGGCTGAAACTCCATGGGAATGCCCAGAACCCTAAAGGGGTCTGGGCAGTGCCTGCTTTGGCGTCCAACCCACCTCCGGAGCTTACACATGCTCCCAGCATGCACTCTGTTCTCAGGGCTGTAAAAGCAGGTCTCCCAATTGGATGTTACCTGTCCCTGGCCATGACAGTAGTGGGACATAGGTATGTTCTCACATCTGCAAGTTCCTTTTACCCATCCATCATCTTTACCTGCTTCTTCCTTGCCCATGTCCAGCCATCACTGTGTGAGAGGAACTACAAGAACTCTCCAAGTTCCTTTTTAATATGAACTAGAGAAATAGCATTTCTTGTGAAAGTGCAGTGTGCGTTCTGAATGACTGCTGAAAATTGTTGAGGAATAACTTGTTAAATAAATCATTAAAGCTAAAATGAGCAAAGCACTAGCCAACACCTAAACTCAGAAAATCCTCAACTGGAAGCTAAAATTAGCTAATGTGTTGGCAAAAATTAGTAAAACATTTTAACTAAAATTTAAAATGAGCTCAACACTAAAATTAACAAAACAGTAACTAAAGACATAATTGTAGCTTAAGATTAAAGCTAGCAAAAACAAACTAAAATTTAACTGTAGCAAAACTGCAGCTAAAAGCTAAAATTAGCAAAACTATTGGTAAAAAAAAAGTTAGCATTTCTCTAAACTGTATTTAAAAACTAAATAAGCATAAGTTTTAAGTACGTAAATGCTAAAATTAGCAATCTGTAGCCAAAAGTTATCCATCCATCCATTATCTTTACCCGCTTCTTCCTTTTCGGGTCACGGGGGCCACTGGTGCCCATGTCCAGCCATCACTGTGTGAGAGGTGGGGGACACCCTGGACAGGTCTCCAGTCCATCACAGGGACACCTAGAGACAAACAAGACAAACAACCATTCACTCTCTCACTCACACCTAGAGACACTTTAGAGTTACCAATCAGCCTAACATGCATGTTTTTGGTCTGTGGGAGGAAACTGGAGTACCCAGAGAAAACCCACACATGCACAGAGAGAACATGCAAACTCCACCCAGAATGGCCCCCGGCCAGGATTTGAAACAGGGCAACCTTCTCGCTGAGGTGCGGCAGCTCTACCAACTGTACCACCGTGCTGCCCTAGATAAAAGTTATTATTAATAAAACCATAAGTTAAAGCAAAAACTAGCTAATTTGTTACTAAATGCTAAAATTTGCCAAATGGGAGATAAAAGGCAAAAACTGTAGCTAAAGTCCAAAACTAGTGAAGCAGCAGCTAAATGCTAAATGTAGCAAAGCCATAGCTAATAATCAAATGCAGCAAAATTATGGCCAGAAACTATTCATCTATCCATTCATCCATCCATCCATCTTCTACCGCTTATCTGTAATCGGGTCGCAAAGGCAACAGCTCCAGGAGAGAAACCCAGCCATCCCTCTCCCCATCAACACTTTTCAGCTCGTTCTGGGGGATTCTGAAGTGTTTCCAGACCAGAGAAGATGCACAATCCCTCCAGCAACTTCTGGGTCTTCCCTGGGACCTCTTACCAGTGGGACATGCCTAGAAAACCTCTAAAGGGAGGCGTCCAGGAGACATCCTAATCAGATGCCTGAACCACCTCAACTGACTCCTTTCGATGCAGAGAAGCAGCAGCTCTACTCGAGCTCCTCCTGGATGACAGAACTCCTCACCCTATCTTTAAGGCTAAGCCTGGCCGCCCTGCGAAGGAAGCCCATTTCAGTTGTTTGTATCCGGGATCTTGTTCTTTTGGTCATGATCCAAACCTCATGACCATAGGTGAGGTTTGGAACGTAGACAGACAAGTAAATCAAGAGCTTTGCCTTTCGACTCAGCTCTCTTTTCACCACAACAGCCCAAAGCAATGCCCTCATTACTGAGGACGAGACCCTAATCCGTCGATCCATCTCCCACTCCATCCTACCATCACTCATGAACAAGATGCTCAGATATTTACCATACCATACCATACCATTTTATTTATAGAGCACTTAAAACAGCGACAAGGCCAACCAAAGTGCTGTACAGACAGAACAACAGGTAACACAGGTAATATTTGAACTACTCCACCTGAGACAAACTGGTGCCAGAAGCTAAAATAATCAAAACCGTAGCTAAAGGCTACAGTTAGCAAAACTGTAGATAAAAGAGAAAGTTAGCGTGCAGTAGCTAAAAGTCACAATTGGCAAAACTGTAACTAAAAGCTAAAGTTTGCAAGACAGTAGTTAAAAGCAACAAAGGAAGAAAAAAAGAGCAGTTATGCTGAAATAGGTTTCAGAGAACAATGTTTCAGAAGAAATTGAAAAGAACTTCATGTATGTATGAGAAAATTTTAGGTAAATAAAGTTAAATATTTTAAGAAGTATAACGATGACAGATACTAAACGTCATAACCCAGTATTCCTGCTAGAGCCAAACATTTTGATGTTTTTGTTCGTTTTTCCAGACTTGAAAACTTTTGCACTGATGGAGTTGAGCTGTTAAAAAGTTTGATTCAGTCTCGCTACCTGAGAGCAGCTGTACATCTGCTGGATAACATCCTACCTCCCACCTATCCTCTGAGCTTTTACCTGCTCAACAACTCTCAGTAAGACTGAAATATAAAATCTGTCATGTAGCACGTAGCTGCACTTACAGGATCAAGCTAACCCCACATTTTGCATCCTGCCTCTGTTAATGCAGGTTTGTAAGTTGTATCCAGCTTTTCCTGCAGTACGACAGCGTTTGTCCTCAAGGTGTGACGCAGCATGTCACACATCGAGTCGCACCACTTCTAACCGGAACCACTTACGGGGACAATGTCCGTCTGCTGAACAGTGTCATTCAGGTACTGGTTTGACAAAGTTAGCCGATTTAGCTCAATTTTGCTAATATATTTGAAAAAGGAAATTTGAAATAAGTAGTTAAACATTAAGTACCATTAAAGAAATGCAGGAAATAGTTATAACTTATTAGTTTCTTCAGCTTTTTGAGAAAACGCTAAAGAAGTGGTTAAAACCTTTAAGAGGAAAATAAATAGTATCACACACAGAGATTTTTAAGATGTTTGTAAATTATCTTTCAGAGTCACGTTGTAGAAAGCTCTCGGCCCAGTTGTGTTGGAGCCGCTGCAGTGCTGGAGTTCTGGGTGGGGATCCTGACCCAGCAGAACTTTTGGTATCGAGACAAGACGGTCCTGTTCCTCATGGATCAGATCTGCAGTGCTGCCTTTATTCACCACCAGGAGGAATGTGTGCAAAAGCTCCTCTATCAGCAGCATAAGGTATTTACTGTGTTGTGTTTTGGAAAACGTAAAGACTCTTGTGAGTTTGTCAGGCACTGATCCAGAAACTAACACTGTAAACTGCCTGTAGCAGAAGTATGATCCCAAACAGTTTTGACCGTAAGCTTTTGAGTTTTTTCCTGTTTTCATGCCTAATGCCAGAATGCCTTGAGTTACCATGGAGATCGGGGTCTGCTCTCCTCTCTGGTTGGCTGGATTGCTGGAAATGCCACGCCATCATTTGTAGAGGGCCAATCCCTGAGTGGAGAAGTAAGTTGTCCTGAAGGAACAATATGCAACAAGTTCTTTTGATCATATTCGTTTATGTGATGCAGATAGGTTTCAGTCCTGACAGCCCTGCCTATTGTCGACTGCAGGTTTGGTTTGCCTGGCTGGTGCTGAACATGGAGGGGCTGTTTGAGGAAGAGTCTCAGCTGAGACGCTGCGTCGAGCATGAGCTCCTGTCAGAGCCCAGCATCTCCCCAGATCAAGCATTAAAGGTAAACAAAATACAAAAAGGCCTGGTGTTCTTTACTTATTTAAAGACAATTAAATGTAGGACAGTTAAATAAACTAAAAAAAAATTGTTTCCAATCCCACAGTCCAGTTATTGACAGTAGAAGTTTTTAAAAAATGGTCACTGAATGTGTTTAGATGACAGAGTGTTTCTGTTTGTGATCCAGCGGGCACAGCAGAGGCTGAAGCTGCCAGTGGTTCCCTCTCTGCAGAGGCTGCAGGTGTACCGCTGGGCGTGTCAGGCCCTAGCCACCCCACCTGATCACCCCCTCCTCCCCCTCATCTGGCAGAAGTTCCTGCAGCTCTACCTCAGACAGCCTGGACCTGAGTACGGGTAAGAAACACACTCATGTCTCAAAATCCCTACCAGAGAAATTGAAGGGAAAAACAAAAATGTATCTGTTTATTTGTGTTGCGACAGGCTGGCAGCAGGGGGGTGCATCGGACGAAGGTTCTTCCAGGCTTCTTCTTATCCTGCTTTACTTAAAGATCTGAGGCAGAGAATACAAGAGGTGTCTGACTTCCACTACGCTGCCAGCCAGGCTCTCAAGGTGCCCTTGCTAAACACACCTTCATCGGACAACCAGGGGGAAGAAACCCCGGGCAATGCCCAACCACCTTACCTCACCTCTCCTCAGCTCCACTCAGAACTGGTCAGGTAGGTTTCTGGTGCAGAAAAAGTGCACAAACAAACCTTTTTCCAGCTATTTGACAGTGTTTGTACAGTTTATTTTATTTGTGCTCTCTGTTGACCGTTTGCCTGCAGGTTGTTTGGTGTGTTTGCCTTGTGGATTGATGATGGGACCCTGCAGAAGCAGGAAGTGTACCTTCCCTCCCTTCCACCCGAATATGAAGCTCACAGACTGGCACAGGTCATGCAGCGACAACAGGTCAGCGAGTCGTTGTTTTGTGTATTTTTTTCTGCCTGTTTGTGTTCAAAGTGTTACACATTTTAAAAATAGTTGCTCATTCAGGTTGATGTGTTGTTTTGTTTTGTTGCAGGAACTTTGGCTAGAATATATAGACCAGGAGCGTCTTCAGTATGATGAGAGGGAGGTTCTGTCTCTGTGGGAGAAGGTGCAGAGTGAGCCCACATTCCTGCAGCCTCAAAGTTCTGGCTTCACAGACTACACCAGCCAAAGCACTGGTGCGGATCACAAATTTATTACTCTGTATATCTTGAAGCGGTGCAATGGTGAAGTATCTGCAAACAAAACTTGAGTTGTAGTCATCAAGAGATTTGTTTAAGTCTTATTTCTGTCTGTCTTTATGTTCAGCAAAAGAGCGCATCCTTTCCAATCTGCAGAAGCATCCGGTTCCTCTTCGAGCTCCTGAGCTCCAGGACCAGAAGGCTCCAGTGGCCGATGTTCCCACTGCTTGTCTCTCTGACTATAAAGCTGCTGCTAAACTCATACAGCAGGACCTCAGCATTTTACAAGATCAGGCCAGGTACAGGGGAGGGATCATTTTCATAGTATCAGTGATTAAAAGTGTACTTTAAAGTACACCAGTTATTTTTATATTTCATCTGTGTTAGGATTGCTGTTGCGCGTGAAGCCCAGCAGGTGGCGATGGAGCAGGAGCTTCTGGAGAGCCTTTCTTTGCTTTTTAAGAACCAGCCAGAGCAAGTTAGCATGGCCCTGGAGTGTAAAGGGAAAGGAGGCCAGCCATGTCTAGGACCAGCAAACATCACCGTCACAGTGCGACCGCTCATAATGCATCCAAGGTACAATTTGCCAAACCGTGTTATCGCTTTTATTTGTTAACCGGTGTGTGTTTGTGTAGTGTGATCGTGCCCAGAGACAGGAGGCAGTGCACAACCAGATAACTTTGCTGCGCAGGGACATCAAGAAGCTCCAGACTGATTGTATGGCTCCTCCACCTCAAAGCTTGGCCCAAGCTGCAGTTCACACTGAGAACTTCATCACGTTAGTACTAACAGCTTTTAGCCAATTACAGAAAACAAAACAATAAAACTTCCTAGAATTAGTTCAGCTGTTAAAAAGCCATGTGAGGAAATAAAAGCACAGTTTGTTTTAACAGAATCATTTTGACTTGTAGGTTTTCTGTATTTTTATTTTTGTTTTTTTTCTATTCAGGGCTCTTGTGAATAATTTCAAAGCACAGAAATCTCCAGTTGTGCAACAAGTTGGTGTGTCGGCCTTTTACCAGGTGGTCTCCTTTGTGTGTGAGGACACACTGCGGCACCCCCCAACACGGCAGTACCTCTCATCGTGTGTGGAGATACTGGGACAGGTGTGTGGACCACACAAACACACACAGACATGCATAAGAAAATTGAAAATACTAATACATCATTTGTGTTCCAGTGTGTTATTTTAAGAGTTGGACTCTTTTTTTAATTTTTTTATCAGACAGGGAATGTTGCCACCAATATTAATGTGTTGTGTTGACAAAGCTCCCCAGCTGAGCAATGAAATGACTAACAAGAGAAATCCACTTGCCTTGTTTTTAAACTCAGGATTTGTCATGTGTTTATGATTATTTTTAACGAAACTTTAGCATAACCAAAAAGCCTAATAAAAATAAAAATAAACTTTTTTTTACCACAACCACTTAATTAACATCATGCTCTAAAACTTTTGGGATGTAAACATTTTTAAAGTACTAACATGTTTATAAAATTATCAAAAGTGTGTTAGACTAAATCACATCTTACGCTGCTGTTCCACTGTAGCCGTCGTTTCATGGACTGCATTTACAACTCGATACAAACACTGATGCATTTTTCATTAAAACTGCGCACAGCCACATTCACGCTCTGCAATACGAATAACAAATGGATATTATGAAGGGCAAAGACATGCACAAACTACTATAAAAATATTAAATGGAATCAAAATTTCTGCAGCAGGTGAAACAGTTTGGTGGTATTGTGCATTCATATGTACTCATGTTTACTCTGCTGATTTGTGCATTTATTTACATGGAAGTCTAGCAACTCCTTTAAGCAAAAATGACTTGTTTTACAAACACAGATTTGCAGTTATTAAAGAAAAAATTAGGCGTAAAACTAAATTTTCAGCCTTGGGGATGTGGAAATCCTCTGTTTTAGTAATAAGCTTTCTCTCATTCAAGTTAGTTCACTGTCAAAAATATTTAATATATTGGGCAATGTGTAGAAATGCTTTAGACCAGGGCTATTAAACTGGTAGCCCGGGGGCCAAATTGGGCCCACTGGTGAGCTCAGTTTGGCCCACCAATGGGTTAATTTTTAAATAAAACTAGATTTTAAGCTGTAAAACAAGGTTAATTATTTACAATAACTGTTGGATTTCCAGCTCCTGAGCTCTTGGCTTTCAGTAACTGTGGCCCCCTGAACAATTTAGTAGAATAGCCCTGCTTTAGACTGTCAGATGACCCTGCACTCTCATTTTATTTCAACACTGCACAATTAGAGACAGCATTCAGCACCTTTGTACCTATAAATACTAACGGCTGTAAAAGAATACTGCAACAAGGCTTTCAACATGTCAACCCTGGCCAGAACGTTAGATTCGATGTAGTTACTTTAGTTTGGGAACAGCCCATCTCCGGACAGAAAATGAATGAAGATGTGATCAAATGGACAAAAGGTCCATTTATTTTTAAAATAAAGTTATTTTCTTCTGTATAGTTTGTTGTTACGACCCATATGCCTAGGAGTGACTCACAAGACACGCAACATATGAAGTCCAGATGGTTGTAAAGTTTTAAGATGTACTTTAATATATAGTCCAGATAGAAAAAAGGGAAATGGGAGCTCTGGCTAAAATAAACAATAGAGGGCGAAGCCTCAAACCAGTCAGCAGTTGACCTCCAGATCTGGGCCACTCCCCCAACCCTATGGTCCAGGATCTTAACCCTTCAACCAAAAACTTGGAAACAGAAAAGCCGATAACTCCCAGACACAACAAATAATTAATACTATTAACAGAAGGCAACAAGCTGCAAGGCAGGCCTCTATGGGAAGGATCAGGAGACATCAGACCAACGCCTTACCTCTCTGCTACCCCCCTTAACGTCTAGCAGGCAGAGCTTGTTCCTTGTAAAATTTTATTGTCCACCAAGATGGAAATTTTCCTTCAGCTCTCCAGCCATAAAATAAAACACATTCATACAATCAAAATATCAACAATTTGTGCATAAAATAAAACACTTTGCATACCATAGGTAAATGTTATCATTTGGTTTGGTGAAGTTTTTGAAAATTTGCCACAGTTTCCACAAGTTGACCATTGAGTGAAACTGGCTTCACTTTAAGGTCTTGTTTAGGACATATATCATCATTTTTTTGTCTTGGCTACATTAATATCTAGCTTTTAAAATCCCGCCAGCCAATCAGCTGAAAAGAGAACACATCAATTAGCAGACACTCATTCACAACAAGATGACACCGGGACACGTGACACTTGCATTTACATGCACCTCCATTGTTTTGATTTCATGTGCAGGTTTTTATCCAGGGGAATGCAGAGGAGTGTGGTCATGTCCTGAAGACCATCTTGGAGCAGAGGCTTCTTTGTCCCCTAATCTCCCCCTTCTTCACTCCAAACGCAGCCCCCGCTCAGTTCGTCTTCCTCTACCAAGACGTGGTGACATCTCTTCAAATCGACACTGCTGATGTCATTTTCATGCTGCTCACCAAAGTGAGTCCATGGTGAAGAAACAATATGAAGCATTCAGTACACTTGCATCCCTTCAGTTTCTTCCTCTTCTCCTGCAGTTCGATTTGTCCCATTGGCTGAATGAGGCTCATCCTGTGTTTTCGGAGAGAACGCGTTTGCTGGAGCTGATCCACGGAGCTCTCTGCGTCTGCGGCCGAGACCCCGAGCCTGAACTTCTCACGCCATTTCACCTTTTCACCAAACACTGGACCTTGCTTTTACGCCACCACTTCCCAGACCATTACAGTGATTGTCTGCGTCTGCTCATGACCAGTGAGTGAATTTATTCAGTCAAAGCTGCAAATGACAGTTTTTAAACAGAGGTGCTCTCACATTCTGCTTCCTGGTTGTAAAAATTCAAATTCTCTAACTATATAAGTCAAAATATTAAAAGTTCAGGGCTTAATGATTTGTTATTTCTACTTTATATATACAAAGTTTAAGAAAACTAACAAAAGAAGTGAGCAGAAAAGTCAATTTGTCATCTTTTCACCTCTTGTTTGTAATGTTTTACAATACATTACAATACAACTTTATTTATAAAGCCCTTTAAAAACAACACCGTTGGCCAAAGTGCTGTACACTAATACAAACAAGCATTAAAAACATGATATCATAAGTATTGTCATAAGACTGCCTGATAATGTAGTATGACTTTAAAAGCAAAACTCTATTGGTCTTCTTTCAATGGAGGCAGAGAGAACACACCCATCCCTCTGAAATTATGCCTCTTACTCATTTTTTACCAACTGCACTGAATATTAAAAAACAAACAAACAGTGAAGTTGGTGGAATGATTCTTTTGCTGTAAGCTTTTTGTCTTTTATTAAGAGGATTCCTAGCAAAGATTTAAAAAAATTTGTATTATCGACTGTCTGAATTGTTCAATTTAGATGTTTGATGTGAATTTTTTTTTAACCAATAATATTTTAATGTTGACAGGTTCATCAAACCAGATGTTGAGTCCAGAGTGCTGGAAAGTTACATTGCGAGTGCTTGGCTGCTTGCCTCCAGCCCGCAGCGTCAAAAGCAAAACTGAACCATCTCCCAACACTTTCGGACCCTCCGCTTCTCCCTACAGACCCTCCATCAGTCTCTCTCCTCAGCAGGTGTTGTTGAGTCACATTCCCCTGATTGTCAGTAGTGAACATGTATCTATTTAGTATTTATTTGCCAACAGGCGGATGAGACGGTTGACTGGCTGAGTGACTACTTCCTGAGAAGTCGTCTCAGTAAACCTGAGCTCCGCAGCTTCGGCCTCTTCTCCTCCTGGGTTCCTTACATCAGTCACATTGTTATCTTCTGGGAACATCTGATTGGTTGCACTATCAGCGTGCACGTCAGCAGCTGCGCCAGAGAGTCAGTGGGCAGCAGCAGAACCATGACAGGTAACATCACGTTGACATGTCACAGTGATGGAAAGGTTGGTGATTGTTTGTAAGTTTAAACCTTTAGTTTTCTGTAGATCTGTAGTTAACCATCACTCTGAAAGAGAACTGTTTTGTGTCCTCTCACAGCTCTGCAGGACCTGTACAGCAAGCTTGGGAAGTTATTTAAGCCCTGGATCTTTCCTCTGGACAGCAGTGAAGGCGGGTGTGTGGCAAAACATCTGCCCTCATTTTCTGTTATTTAAGATAAGGAGAGCTTTTATCAGAGAGGCAGATGTGAAACAGATGTGAGCTCAAACAGAACAGACTAAATAGGGCAAAACATGTAGAAAAGAACACAAGATTTTGTTTTGTTTTGGTCACAAACATTGACTTGTGGTTGTGTAATTTATATTTTTGGTTGTCCATTAAACATGTTCGTCTTATTTTATCTTTTGTTCCCCCTCAGTAACATTAAGTGTTACCCCTGGCTGGAGACTGATGCGAGTGCAGCGGGACATCTGGTTGGTTTGTACGTTCAACTGACTGACACAATTCATTACAAATTCAGAGGTAGGCTTTAAGTTCTCTAAGTATATTCTTTTTTGGTGTGTTGTTACCACATTTTATGCATTGTGTATACGTTAATGTTTCAGATCGCCTGCTGCCTGGTCAGAGAGGAGCTCTGTGGCTGTGTTTGATGCAGTACTGTGAGAGCTGCACCTCTCCTCGCACACCCGAGTACCTGCTATACATGTACCACACACACCTCCGCAGCCTGCCCTGGAAGCACCTGCATCCCGACACCCAGCTCATGGAGCAATTCTTCAATGTGAGACACTTTGACACCAAACCCCTGATCTCAAATTACTGAGCTAAACATTCAAAGCACAAGGAAACTTCAGCCCAACTTTTAATATTAGCAAGACTGGAACACACTAGATACACTCAGTATATAGTATTATCTTTCATGTGGTATCTTTACTATCAAGTATAAATTTAATTCTTGCCTTTTAGTCCTTCTCTTCCAATAGAGACAGAGTTTCTGAGTAGAGCGTTTAGTGGCAGAGCAGCTAAACTCCAAGTAAATTGAACGAAGATGACTAAAGACAAAAGTGATCGATTTTACTCAGCTTTCAGAATACTGCAGTATATTTTTCATATTGTGATGAAGCCTCAAAATATCAGAGTCAGAATATCAGTTTATCAATATCAGTCCTAGTTCTTATAATATTAGTACCATCATGTTGTTCCTGCAGAAGAGACGCCTCTAAAGAGCCACATGTCTATACAGACTACAATATAAAAACACACATTAATCAAAGATAGTTCTGTTTGGAATGGCACAGATGCTCTTAAAACTACATCCATACTTTTTAATTTTGTATTCACTATTTCAGTATTTATTTTGTATTATTTCCGACACTCTTTGTTCATTTAAAACTGTTCTCCCAAAGTTATCGTTGTGGACTCCCGTTGAAAATCACTGCCATAAAAGACCCTGATTGTCTGAGTCTAATAATTAGTAGATGTGGTAGATCTGTTTCAGTAATAATAATCTTCTGTTTGTTTGTTTGTTTGTTTACTTCTTGGTGCCTTCTCTTATCCATGACCTTGAAATCCTTCCGCCCACTCCTTCCCTGAGCATTTATAACATTTAAATTTACGATACCACTTTGCAATAAGACTCCCCTTATAGATGGCTTATAAATAGTTTATTGATAGGTTATTAATTCCTATATAAACACTATAAATCATTAATAACTGCTTATTAAGCATTAATTAAGGGTGAGAAAGAGACAAACCTGACCAGTTTCTTGCCGAACAGCAAGCCAAATCTGTTCACCTATATATTTCATCTAGAGTTGTTGTATTAAACATTTCAGACTAAGTTACTACCTTGTAAGCACAATGAGCGTTTGTAAAACTATTTTTTTTATATAATCTTGTACTTTATCACTGCATTATAAGTATATACAACTATAGATACTTATAATGCAGTGATAAAGTACATTATATTCTAAAAAAATAGGTTTACAAATGCTTATTGTACTTACAAGGTAGTAACTTTGTCTGAAATGCTTAATATAACAACTCTAAATTAAATATATAGGTGAACAACAAAGTCCATGCTCAATAATCCAGGTATACAGTCCAACAATTTTCAGTCAGGTCATCTGGACAGTTTCTTTTTTTTTTTTTTTTTTTGTGCTGAAACGTTTCACCTTCCATCCAGAAGGCTGGTTTGTTCCACTTTGGAGTAAGCTGTTGGGAGAAGAATCCATTTTGTGTTGTGTGTTTCTTTGACTGATGAAGCCTTCTGGATGGAAGGTGAAACGTTTCAGCACAAAAAAAAAAACAGAAAAAGAAACTGTCCAGATGACCTGACTGAAAATTGTTGGATATAGGTGAACAGATTTGGCTCGCTGTTTGGCAAGAAACTGGTCAGTTTTGTAACTTTCTCACCCTAAATTAATGCTTAATAAGCAGTTATTAATGATTTATAACGTGTTTATAGAGGAATTAATAACATATCTATAAACTATTAGCCATCTATAAGGGGAGCCTTATTGTAAAGTGGTACCAAATTCACATTAAAAATATAAAGTGTTCTTGCAAAGCTCAGTGAGGGAACATGTTGTGTAGCATGCATCAGTTCCCATAATGTTTAAGTCCTGTTCTACAATATGGAGCACACATTCTGAAAATCCTTTCAAACTGATGCAAAGGATTTTTTTTTTGTGGCCACTTTGGGTCTGTTTGAGAACTTCTCTTTAGAAGAATTATGAGCAACTTTGGGACTATCAGACCTGTCACTTTAGTCATAAGCTTAGCTTTAAACAGTAGTTAAACCTTTAATGGCATTGACTTCTTAAGTCAAGTCCATTGACACTAAACCGTTAATATGTTTGGGAGTGAGTTTTGCCAGTCCAGATTTGTACTGAACATTGTGCCTTCCTTCACCTACAGGTGGAGAGAGGAAGTCCCAAGAGCTGCTTCCTGTTTATGGGAGAACTGATGTGTGAAGTGAACTGGGTCAGTGTCCTAAGTGACCACTTACAAACACCTCTTGGCTCTACAACATATCCAGCTCTGACAGATGTGGCTACGCAGAAGGAGTCACTCACCATGCTGGTCTATCTGCTCTACATGCTTGTTTTTCTAGCCAAAGAGGAGCAACTCCTGAGTAAACAGGTGAGCTGTGGAATCAGACTTTTGATTACCTCATTAAATCATTTTACATGTTTCCTCTTCATCTTCCAGGACCCCCCTCTGCTCAGTCTGCTGGTTCAGTCCACCTCTCTACCCTGGCACCAACTTGACCTCTCCTCGTACCAGGGCATTCTGGGATATGTCAGCACACACTACCCTCCGTCTCTGCTCCTCAGTTCAGATTCTGCTTCTCAGTTGCTGCTGAAATTACTCCGTAGTGCTGCAGGTCTCCACCCACACCCCAATGAGGATCCACACCAGGTGAGACAGTGTGGTGCTTTTATTTTGGAGCGTCTGGTACTTTTACTCATTTTACTGTGAAATATCAGGGTCAGGTGACAATAAACACAGAATTTTTGGGGTGTAATCTATCATACAAGGTTGAATCATTCAATTAATTAAATGCTTTAGTTGCCAAAAGATTTTTTCTTCCAATTATTTAGTTGAAACAGTGACTGAAAAATACTGAATTTCCTCAGAGCTGTTTTATTATGAATAAATTTTATGTTGATGTGTTTAGTAATTCACAAGTCTCTGATTTCAGCATCTCTGCTGCCCCTTGGCTCCCACTTTCTCATGTTTTGTGGGAAAGTGGGAGGTTTGGATCATCTTCACTATGTTTAGACTTAAACACTTCAATTTTTATGGCCAGCCTTGTATCTTTTAGTCATAACGTGTTTAGAAAAATCTTAAAAAAACTGAATAATTTAACACTTTCCTATAAATATCAGAAATTAATACTGTTTGTGTTTTATGTAAACTTACTTCAATCCTCCTTTTTAGGATCAGCTACTCATTTTCTTTAGCTAAAGCTGTATTTTCTCACAGTATCAGTGAAATTGTGAATTGTATAGTGCTCAACAAAAACTGAACTTGTAGATGTTTTTTTTTCAGGAAGAGACCCTGAAGGCAGGAGGTTATATTTGCTGGTGTGTGCAGTCACTGGTGACTCTGGAACAAGGAGGTGGCATCGTCCTCAGCAGCCTGGAGGCTCAGCTGGAGACACTTCTGGAGAGTGTGGTTACCTTCAACCCTCCAGGTAAATTTTCCTCAACAATCCAGCAACTTTTTTTCTCGACGTATAAACTAGAAATCATTTTTTGGTCTCCGTTTTCCTTTGCAGATGTGGATTTGGAGCAAAGACACATGGCGTTCTGCAGTCTCTTCAGTGATGCACTGGCCTTGCTCAACGGGGTGGGAGTCTCAGCGGGCGAGGCTTTAGCTGCTCATGTCATTACCTGGCTGGACAGGAAGGGGAGGGGATTTCCCATTCTGCCTCTTCTCACAGCCTGCTCATGCTGCCTCGCATCAGTGCGACACATGACCCGCATCATGGAGGCATGCATCACGGCACACTTCAACCACGGTAAATAGTTCAATTCAATGGTTGCATATGAGATATTTTTCTGATTTTCTTACTATCTTTAAGATGACAAAAACGTCCCATTTTTGTTCTCCCATTTTCACTTCAGCTGAGGAGGAGCCTGTAGGTTGGGGCCCTGTGTTAGCGTCCCTGCAGGTGCCTGAGCTCACAATGGATGACTTCCTCTCCGAGAGCCAATCAGGAGGCAGCTTCCTGACACTCTACGCCTTCATCCTGCAGCGCCTCAACGCTGAATGCACACAAGCCAATGACAGGAGGATTCTGGCTCTCATTACCACATGGACCACCCAAGTCTTCCCCAGGTGTGTCCATGATATCAGTTTGTGTTCTTTATAAGCTGCAGACGTATTAGACATGTTAATATGAAGGTCCTTGTTTGTGTTCAGTGGTCCAGGTGATGAAGCAAAACTGTTCCTGTGGTGGCACAAGGCACTGAATCTGTACGTGGAGCAGCTGCAGCCACAGGCAGGTCACACTGAAGTGTCAGGAGTTGTCATGGGTCTGATGAGCCTGCAGAGCAGACTGCTTCAACTCGGAGAAGAACGACAGAACTCTGGACTCCTGGGAGCCATAGGCCTTGGGAAGAGGTCTCCTGTTTCTAATAGGTAATTAATTTTAGGAATTAATCAAACCAACAGGAGCCCAGATTGGGTCAAATAGTCATTGTGCATTTACATCTAGGTTCAAGGTGGTTGTTCGCAGTTTAGCAGCATTCCTGTCCGTCCAGATGCCAGAGACTGAGCTTAGACTCCAACCCACTCCTGACCTGCAACTCTCTGCAAAAGCACAACAAGTATGCCCTAAAATGTGTTGTTTTACTTTACCGATTAAAAAAAAAAAAAATCTGCTAAAAGTAACTTGAATATACCTTTTTTTTCTCTCTATGGATACAGACACTGGGAATGTTGGAGGCCATGTCCAGCAATAAGCAGTACGCTGAGCTGGAGGAGCCTTTGAATAAGGCTGTCCAGTTCATCCGCTACCCAGGACACTGTCTCAAAGATGGCCCCCGACTGCTGGCCCTGCTTGTCAGCCTCCTGTACTCAGACCTCAGATACCTACACATCATTCGTTAACTTGGACTCAACCTGACAAATGCTCCAGATTTCAAGGACATTACCTTCCTGAGGCAAATAATAGTCAACATCTAATTTTTGCAAACAAAATAATACTTGAGCACAACGTTTTCAAGCAGTGACACTTGTACAGAGTCCCGTTTGTTTTTCTATCCATGAGGACTTTGTATGTCTGAAATGGACATTGTGAAACAGATAATGGATCATGAAGCTGGTCAGAGGTCAAAGCAGTTTTTGCACTCTGACATTTTTAGCACTTTACCGTCTTCTCTTATCTATAATGCCTTGTTGCTTTATTTACCATGCCTATTGATTTTTTTTTAACTGCTGCAAGTTTTGCTCATGGTTAGAGGAGTTGTGCTTATTTATTGAAGCAGAAACCATGAATGAGAGTCAAGCGTTGGTGCAAATTTCTTACCTGCATGTAGAATCTAAGAAAAGAAATGAAGTGCAGATTTAACAGGAACATTTAGTAGTATCTTCTTCATTTTGGGTGGGAGATGTGCCAACAAAAATGTGTGCAATGTTTATTATTAGACAAAACCCTTTTGCTGTTGATGCCACAATCTGACTTGTCTTTATACGACATATTGTACAAAAACATGAAATGATAATCCTCAGCAACACAATATTTGACAGTATTATTCATGTTAAACCAAAAGTGCTCTCTCTGTGTAAACTTTTTGTTTTATCTGCCAAAGAGACATCATTTTCACCCGCTCATTTTGCCTAAACTCTGGACCATTTTCCCTGGTTTCATCCTGACTGCTGTGTCCTGAAACTGCAGTGTGTAAAAGCCATACTTACTAAAGTGCACCCAGCTCCTCGTGCAATGTGCCACTCCACTTGGCTTCCTCATAAAGTGCTGCATGCACTGTAACTCAGCTGGCTCATGCTGGTGGTATTTTCATAAAGAAGGATGTGATGCTGTTGGAGCCTTTATGTAATTTGGCTTTCATATACTTGTTTAAGGATAAATGTTTTTTTTTTAATGAACAGAGGCCGTTTTCATATTTAATTACCCTCATCTACTCGCCACTTGTGTTGCTCTGTACCATTTCAGAAACAATCGAGCTGCACTTCAGCAGCGTGCAGCTCGCCTTATTTCTGTCGTTATGAGGACTGTTAATGTCAGAAGTCTGTTTTTGAGTCCCTAATCAAGAATTGGGCTGTTGGGCTGTGGGAAGAGGAGCTACAGAGTCACACAGCAAAAAGGAGACAAGTAAATAAAGTGGGCTGATTGTATAACTGTTGTATTTAACTGTTTAACTGTGTGTTTCATCTACCAGATACATACAACCTCTAAAACATCTAAACTTTTATGTCGGAAGCAAAAGTAAAAAACTTTATATGAACACAAAAGGTTTAAAATGACCTTCATTTCTTTACATTTTGCTTCCAAACAGCTTGACTTGCCTATATTTTAGTGTTGCAGTAGTTCTTTATTGTTTCTGAAGGTTTTCAAATGTGTATTTATATTTTGGACTTATATACTCATTGTTCAGTCCTTGTACATATGGAGGAGCAGTGTTTAAAAATGAGTAAAGTGAACAAGAGTAAGACTAAATTGTCAACTACAAAAATGTCTACAGCAGAGGAACAATATCTGAAAGGTGTTCCTTTAAGATGTAAGGGGGGAAGAAATACAGCAAAGACCCTTCACGGCACCTGAGAGATGCATCATGCTTCATCTGATCGTCTGCTGTTTGTCAAGGTTTCAGCTGTTATCTCTTTGACAATCGCCTTGTTGGTCCTACACTTTTTAATGTGTCCACTACAAAACTTGAAACAAGTTTCTGTGACAGGCTGACGGTAACAAAGTGCCTAAAAATTCTATTTAAAATAGATCCTTTACAAAGCAGTCTGTTATGTGTAGATACTATACTTTTTATGTCTGAATTATTCATGTCAGAGTTGGGTCTGCCAAAAAAAACGTTCCTTCCAAAATAGACGAGTACTGAACTTACAATGAGTGAAAAAGGATTCAAGGTACTTTTATTGTCATTTACATCACGTGGTAGAAATTGTGTACACACGGTCCCAGTTACATCCAACAATAGCAAAAATGGAAAGTGTAAAAATGTAATAAATAAGAATGTAAGTTATCAACTAAGATATACACTAAATGAACACCCAACAGTACGCTAAAAGGTCAAAGATATACGCCAGTCACTAACAGTAAAAGCAGCGAACGTCTAAGTTTGAAAGAGTTTCAGAAAGCCTGAAAAACTCGACCACTTTAAAATATGACATGAAGCCATCCATCTTTGCACCCCTCCTTCCTTAACGATTGACAGCTGCACAGATTATTGTTTTTTGACTCAACATACTGTATTAGGGTGGCTGCTGCTCCTTTGCATCAAAAAGGAGTCAGTTGAGGGGGATCAGGCATCTGATTAGGATGCCTCCACCATTTGGAGGTTTTCTGGGCACATGTTACAGGGAACAAACCCTGGGGCACACCCAGAACTTACTGGAGGAATTATGTATCCTCTCTGGCCTGGGAAGTCCTTAGGGTCCCCCAGGAGGAGCTGGGGAGAGGGATGTCTGGGTTTCTCTCCTGGATCAGTTACCCCCACGACCCAACCGTGGATAAGCAGTGGAAGATGGAGATTTACATGGATTTTAACAGCTTTGTAAGGTGCCATCTCTCCTTGAGAGCAGCGTCAGTGATACTTATGTTTCCTCATATTTATGGCTAATTACCTATAATGTTGTTATTCAAACTCAATAACAGTGTGTGTGGTTCTAAAATTAGCTTTATGCATGATGCTGCTGTTGGTTTGGCTGAAGCTACACTTTCTGTTCAACAAGCCTGCTCTGACAAGCGTTATTGCAGAGTAATTTCACGTTATTTTTGGTTGCAAAGATATAATACACACATCTCGCCTTGCAAAGCAGCTCAGGAGGAGGACTCCCAACCGAGTGATGTGCTTCTGTGTGCAGTCATACATTCAGCATCTTTCTTTGTCATAACATCAACCATGGAGAAACCTCTCCTCAGGCAACAGTGGTCTCTATGGTTACAGGACGAGTGAAGGGAGAAACGGGTACAGGAATATGAAGCTTATGTTACAGAGAGGAGCAGAGAGGAGAGGAGATGGGAGATGTTTTCTCCCTCTTCCTTTGTCTCTCACAATCATATCAACCATCTGCTCTATTGTCTCTCCGTTCTGGTGGTGAAGTAGTTTGTATCCAAGCAGAAAAAAAAAATGCTCTTAAATACTCATCTCAAAGAATGGTTCTTCCCCTGTGTATGCACACATACTATGTACATATGCACGTGCTCAGAGGACTCCATGCTGAGACAGTATTCCTGGTAGACACATCACTGTCTGGCAGATTCCCGTGTCACCATGGAAACCCAGCATCAGGTCAGGAATAACTGTTCCAAGACTGTTTGAGTGCAGACTCAGCATCAGAGCAGCACATCAATGAGCTCTTAGCAGTCATCACTAGCAATTAAGATGCAGATATAAACAAACAGTTCAGAGATAAAAGCTTTTTTTTTTTTTTTAAACTAGATCAAAAATGCTTGAATTTCAATTGTTAATGAGTACCAATAGTTGGCTTTATAAAATAAGTGTTGTGTTTGACCCTGACTCGGCCAGATTTCATAACTCAATGACCGGAAAAGTGTTTTATTGAGCATTTTAATGTGTCCATACGCCAAAATACCGTTCCAGATGCCTGGAAAACAGCTACCTTTACCGAAGGGTGGAGACTCCACTATACTGAACAATTATCAGCCCATCGTTAAATTCTTTATTCTTGCTAAGGTTTTAGAAAAATTGATAAATACTCAAGTCAAGAAGTATTTGGATAATTTTAACATCTTACCTCTCTATCAGTCTGGTTTCAGGAAACAACACAGCACAATGACTGCTTCGTTGAAGGTTCTTAATGACGTTGTTGAAGCACTGGATGCTAACGATTATTGTGCCGCACTTTACTTAGACCTGTCTAAAGCTATTGACACTGTGGATCATGACATCTTGTGTCATAAGCTCTCAGAAAATGGTTTCTCAGATCACCCTATTGGCTGGTTTATCTCTCAGACTGGAGACAATGTGTTCAACTTAATGGTACTTCTTCCATTTTTTTAACTGTCAACAATGGTGTACCACAAGGCTCAGTCTCAGAACCCACCCTCTTCACAATCTACATTGGTAATGTAGGTCAGATCATTCCTGATGCATCCTTACATTTATTTGCCAACGACACAGTTGTTAATTGTCGAGCTAAAACAGCTAAGGTTTTCCAGTTTTTACAGTCTGCATTCAACATCATCTAGTCCAGAGGTCTGCAATCTGCAGCTCTGGAGCCACATGCGGCTCTTTGGTCCCTCTGCAGTGGCTCTTTTAAGCTTTGATCAAAACCAACATAAAACTGAATTTTATTGGTTGTTATATATAAACGACAACCAAAAAGGACTAGTTTTAGCTGGGGTTTTTTTGTTGTTTCGTTTGCAAATATGTGAATACTGGAACTAGTACAAGAAGTAAAACACGCTCACTTATTCTTTATTTCTATACTTAATTAATTTTTCCACAATAAAAAAATACATAGGTCTGCATGGTTCATAGTTTTTATTAATTCAAAAAACTTTTCCCCCCCCCCCCCACCCTCTCTTTACAAAAATCTGGTCTTTTCGTTTGTCTTAAATAGTAAAAATATCAATGTTGAAAATCATTAGATATTTTTAGCTTTATAATGTAACCCCTAGTGGCCATAAAAAACCCCTCCAACAAACCTAAAGTGGTCCACCAGCCACCAGTGAATAACCACATTTGTGGCGACTTGTTGCAGCTCTTAACACTTTTAATTTAGTGAACCAAGGTGTAAAAATGGCTCTTTTGATAGTAAAGCTTGCAGACCCTGACCTAGTCAGATTTGTTCCATCTCAAAATGGTGCTAAATGCTGATAAAATCAAAGGGATTTAGTTTTCCAACAGGAAGCTGGTCCCAGCAATCCTTCCTTCTATCATATCTATGAAAGGTGTTCCTAATGAGTTTGTCAATTCCTACAAATACTTGGGAATCTTGGTCGATTCGCATCTCTCTTTTAAGCCTCATGTCGAAAACTTGGTAAAGAAATAGAAAGTAAAATTAGGTTTCTTTTTCAGAAATAGATCCTGTCTAACTCTGAACGCTAGGAAACACCTTGTAACTGCGACTTTCCTTCTCTCCATTGACTATGGTGACATTATTTACATGAATGCTCCTGCAAGCACCCAGTGGATGTTGGATGCTGTTTATCACGATGTGCCGACTGTAACTACCGTACCCATCACTGCACCCTGCATTCACTGGTCAATTATCAGCAAAAAGACCTTCTCTTACTCCGCTCCTGTTTCCTGGAACGCCTTGCAAAAAGATTACATTATAATGTAGCATTTTTTATTTTTATTTTGTTTTATATCACTACTTTTATTTACTTTTCATTATATGTTTTTATATGATTGTCTTTTGTTGTCTGTACCTCATCTGTGGTTTTTGTTTAAAACAGGTCTCTCTTGTAAATGAATCCTCGTGACTCAATGAGACTAACCTGTATAAATAAAGGTTGAATGAATGAATTTTAGCATGTTTCAGAGTGACAGGTGGAGCTGGGGCGTCTGCATGAATAAAAGTCGACACCAAACCAGCTGCTTTTCCGTGACAGCTGCAACGACCAGACGTCCATTCCTGCTGCCAAAACACAGACATGAAGCTCGAATGTCTCTGAAACTCCTTAGCACAGCTTCAACACAGGAACATCTCTGCATTCTTACTCTGTTTTAAATGTAAATCCTGAGTCTAAGAAAGTGTTCCCAGCATTATCGTGTTTGTCAGACAGACTCTTTTCATCCTGACACCCACTCTCCTCACACCTCCTCACTCGGGTGACTCAAACTTAAATGTCTTTATTTTTCTCTGTTCTTCCCCTCACGTTGACCAATCAGAACAGAAAGAGCTTTATCCTGCTGAGTGTACTTTCCTGGGCACTTAAAGATAAAAGTCATCCTTGATGAGAGATCTTCAGCAATGTTGCTGTAAAGGATGACTTTTACTGAAGGACAGGCTGATTGTTGTTCAGTTCAGCACTGATGACACTGATGAAGTCAAGGAGAAATATTTACCGTACTTGCCGCCGTACAAGTTGCACCGCCGTATAAGTCGCATCAGTCCAAAAATGTCTAATAAAGTGGAAAAAGACATAAATAAGTCGCTTCGCTGTATAAGTCGCATTTGATATGCGGCACCGCTGACAACCCGGAAACGTGGGCCTGTGTTGTGCCACTGTTAACAAGAATTTAACAGGATTAACACTAAAAATGTATTTGTTTGCTCAAAATTATAGCAAAGGTATGTCTCAATTGAATGTTTTCTTAATAAATGCACTATATTGGTCAAATCAGCTGCATTTCAAAAATCAACTTGTGGCTGCTGGAGCGTACAGAAGGACGACTTGCTGCGCATTTCTTCTAAATTTAACAAGATAACTACCTAAAAACAATTATTTGCTTGCTCGACATTATAGTAAAGGTGTGTCTCAGTTGAACTTTTCTTTAATAAATTCACTTTAATGATCAAATCAGCTGTATTTCACCTGGACGGCGTGGTGAAATGCAGCTGATTTGACGTTTGCTCCAGGAGTTCTGGAGCAAGACGGAGGTGGCTCTGTATGGTAATCCAAATGTTTCATTAATAGCCACTTTTACCTATTAATGAGACACTCGGCTTGCCATAATCCTCTAGGGCCCTCTAGCGGCTGAAAATGGTAGTGTTCAATATTTTCCATATCAGAACAAATGAAATCGTCAGGTCTCAGTCAAAGATTGGTTTATAAATATGGGAAAAAATGTATATTAGTCACTTCAGTGTATAAGTTGCAGGACTTGCGAACTTATGGAAAAAAGTGCAACCTATATGGCAAAAAATACGGTGAATAGTTTGTCTGATGGGTGTACTTTGGAAATCTCACTATTGTAATTAACAAATAAAGTTAACTTCTGTTCAAAAAGCTTGCGTTGACTCATTTTATTCTTGAATCTAACTGAAACAAATAGTTTAATTAGTTAATAACAAAACATTTACTCTGGGAAGGGACCTGTTTGTAAAAACTCTGAAGTAAATGTGATCATCAAAACTTTTGTACATTTTGTCTTTATAAGTAATTGTTTATAGCACGCAGCACGGTGGCACAACTGGTAGAGCTGCTGCCTCGCAGCGAACAGGTCCCTGGTTCAAACCCCGGTCCAGGAGCCTTTCTGGGTGGAGTTTGCATGTTCTCTCCGTGCATGCGTGGGTTTTCTCCGGGTACTCCGGTTTCCTCCCACAGACCAAAAACATGCATGTTAGGCTGATTGGTAACTCTAAATTGTCCCTAGGTGTGAGTGAGAGAGTGAATGGTTGTTTGTCTCGTTTGTCTCTATGTGTCCCTGTGATGGACTTGCGACTCGTCCAGGGTGTACCCCACCCCTCACACAGTGATTGCTGGACATGGGCACCAGCGACCCCCGTGACCCAAAATGGAATAAACGGGTAAAGAAAATGGATGGATGGATGTTTATGGCACAAATACATATAATTTCAAAGTGTTTTAAAATGTTATTTGTTAAGAACATCATTTATCAAAGGGAAGCTTTTGTGAAAGGTTGTTTTTGGAGATTGGAAAATTATTATATGCCCAAAAAGGAGGGAAAAACAAAAACTAACCATAATTAGGTACCTCAGTTTTTATTTGTAGCTTATAGTTGAGTAATTGTGCGCAAGTCACTCCTTCAATGACTAAACTGTTTCAGGGTCACTGTAACAAAATGTTAAAGCAGATCGGGTTCTAAAATAAGACATTTTAGGTTTCTTGGGTCACTTTAATTTTTTTTCTACATTCTCATAAAATGCGTCTAAATGTATTTATTCATTTATTAATTTGTTTGTTTGTTGTCTACACATTACAAATGCAGAAACCTGTGGTTGGAGAAATTTGGACCGAGCCGACCCTGGGTTGTTTTAAATCGATAGGATTTTTTTAAAAGGAGTTGAATTGAATATTTTGTTGAATTAACCCTCAGAACATTTTACACAACTGCTTAAAACTATTTGTATATTTTTGCCCACAATAAAGCAGTGCACTAGCCTGAAAAGAAATATAAAAAATTTAATGACCATTTTTATTTTATCTTCTTAAAAAGAACAACACAAAATCAGTACCGTATATTAGATACAGCTTGGGTTGGTGGTAACTATTTGCAGTACAGTAGTCCCTCGATTATCGTGGGGGTTACGTTCCACACTCCACCGCGATAGGTTCAAAACCACAAAGTAGAAACGCTATATTTATTTTAGTATTTCTATATATTTTAAGGCTTAACCCTTCCAACCCTCTTGCAATGTTCTAAACTCTTATACGTCATTTTAACAACAGACGTTAATGTTCTGTACAGTACTGCAAACTCACCAGCTCGGCAGCCCAGCAGCTCGGTTTCAGTCGGGCTCAGTTCTGGTTCTGCAGATGTACCCTGCAGCGATGAATCCCACCGCCCCGTCCAGGTTGATGTGCACATGGATAACTGAGCTTCAGGAAGATTATTTGTGACTTTCCTGCCAGTTCTGTGAGCTCAATAGATCGATCGTTACTTTTGACTGCGTTGAAAAACTTTTACTCCATTTCGGCAGAAAGCAGCAGCCGGAAGCATTGTCTTCTGGGTAGTGTAGTTCTTTTGATTGGCGTTACAATGTGGGCTTATTAAAAGAAAACTACAAAATGGTGGCACCTGTCAAAAGTATTTATTTATTTTTGTTAACTTTTTTTTATCCCGTCCCAATCACGAAAGTAATATTAAAGTTGACAATGGTTGAAAAAATGCGAAAGAGCGAGTCTGCGAAAGTCGGACCGTGAAGTAGTGAGGGGCTCCTGTAACTATGAACTAGCACCAGCTGATGGTCCCAAACTGACTGTTTAGTGCTGCTGACTAAAGCTGTTAACAAAGGCAACCAGGTGAAACATCGCACAAGTTGGTTTTACCCTCTTACCTTTACATATCAGTCTGACCGGTTTGGTCCACTTCTAGCTTAAAGAACTGGCCCAGCTCAACTCAAGTACTGGGTCAAACTTTTTGATCCAATGTTTGGTCAAACCGACCCAATGACCCAACAGCTTCAACACAATGAAGTTACCAGTGTGAGGGTCCCTTTGGAAGCTGATGGCTCAGCTGGTCATTCCTCAGAGCAATCTAAACTTAGTTTGAGTGGGGGTGAAAGGGTTCAGTGTGGTGGGGTATGGGGGGAGGGGGGTCTGCTTCTGATCTTCCTGATTTTAGAAGTTTTCTTGTTTCAGGGTGTGACTGCATGATTTGGATTTTGCCTTCACAAAGATAGAAGGTGAAGGTGAGGGTGTGTGGAGTCATCACATGACTCATGCTGTACCGACTCAATCCAGGCACGAGGCACGCGCATGAACACCTACTTCCTTTTTAAAATTCAGAGAAGACAGGAAAATGATCCAAACAGGACTTTTCAGTCGCATCTACCTGCTCAGAATGAAGGAAACAGGAAGTTCAAACCTCCAGTTTAGACTCTTAAGACTCAATTTGAAACGAACAAACAACAAAACAAAAAAAAAAATACAGTAAAACATAAAAAAAGAAAGATTTCACTTTTTTTTTAGGGGGGGGGGGGGGGGGGGGGGGGTTGGGTTAATTTCAGCCAGGGGTCCAATATCGGACAGAGCAGCTGTGAGGATTTTCTGTTTCTCGTCTCGGTGCTGTAAAGTTTCCAAGCTCAGTCAGGATTCATGTGGTCCATTCTCCTCCTGGTTTCTGTCTGTGGTGGAGCACAGTCCGGGTTTTACTGTCCCATGGTGGTTCCGCTCGCATGGACTTAGGACCGGGGGGGTTCTGGCTCAGGCTGTATGGGCATTTGTCCGAGGCTTTCCACTGAAAAACGTCAGCGAGACGAGGGTTTGCTCACCGGTTATTTCCGAGCCTGTGGTGCCGCCGGCTTCATGACGTCACTTTATAAGGATCCAACAGAACCGGAGCGCCGGGCAGACAGAGGACTGAAGGCAGGAGGGACACAAAGGAACCGGAGGAGGAGGAATGGTCGGAGAAGATGTTCTGATTCTGAAATCAGAGAACATTCTGGTAAGGTTTGCTTCCTTTTTACTGCTAAATCTATGGATTATTGTAATTGTGAATTAGGGGTGAAATTCTCAGATTTAAGACAGTTTTATCTTGAGTAGCTATTGCTGTGTGTGCATCTGTTCCTGGAGGAATCGTAATGGAGTGTATGAATGGGCTTTTCTCAGGAGTGACTCCATTGTCTTCGTCTGTGAGGGTTTCTCCTCCTGTGAGTCTGTGTCCAGCTGAGGGAAACACACAAGACGTGCTGACACTTCATCGTCAGCTTGATTTACAATCAAACTCATCTAATGTAAGACTAGAACATTTAGAAGAAATTAAACTTCCAGGCAGAGCCGATGTGCTGATGTAGACACTGGTTTCTGAAGCAGATGTAGGGGATTCCTCTGCACTCCATCTCAGGCTGCATCAGCACCAACCATATCACCATAGCAACAGTCAGACAAATCAGCACTCTGTGTTCCCAGCATATTACTTTAAAGACTTCTCAGTAAAGCTGAAAGGGGAGTTTTGGAATGGCTGTACACACAGCCTAAATGTATACTGTACAGATGCAGATGGATGTGTTAGTACCGTTCCACAACAATCAGACACACACACAACCAATGTGACTGGAGTCAAACACTCCAGTTCTGTGTTATCGGTCCCAGAAACTTCTGCAAGAAACTTTGGAACTTGTCCATGTGCATTTTGGCAAATTCCTATCTGGCTTTTTGTGTTTCCGCTAATAATTAAGCCCTATTGGATCTTTTTTCTCCATGGAGCTCCATCCATCCATCCATTACATCCATCCATCCATGAAGGTTGAGGGACATCCTTACCAGGTATTGAAACCACCTCAACTGGTTCCTCTAGATGTGAAGGGACAGTGAGTCTCTCCTGGATAACTGAACTTCTGACCCTGTCTCTAACGGAGAGCCCAGCTACCCTGCAGAGAAAACTCAGTGGAGCTCGTTATGATTCAGAATGTGATGGCATCAGAGTGAGTTCAGCTCGACTGTTTTTGAATGCTCTTTAACTACCACCTGTCTGAACAACCTGGAGTCGCATTTTCTCTTGCGTCCACATACTAGGAGGCGGCAGCTGTGGTCACGGGAAGAAGAAGCTGTTTGGAGATGGTCCTGTTTCCTTTTCCTTTAACACAGATGCCTGACATGACTATAATGCAAGGATTAACTTCTAATAATACATTATCTTTCTGAATATCAACAAACCTGCCCATATACGTTTTATGTTTGTAAAACAAACAAATAATTTATTTCAGTTGTTTTTGTTTACTCTATTCCATGCTAAACAAGGATAGTAATTAGATGTTTGTTTTTAACGATGTCACTTTTCATAAGAAATTAAGCGTTGTTTTAATGATCTGTAAGGGTACGAACACTTTTATTCACATCTGTATAGTTTGTTGGTTTTGGCATCATTTATTTTCCAGAGGAGTATTATAAGTACTCTTGTCTCTCACTAGTGACTGACCACAGCCTGAGCTGAAGAGGGGTCTCTGAGTCCTGAGAGTCTAGGAATATGGGGAAGGACTACTACAAGACCTTGGGAATCCCCAAGGGATCCAATGAAGACGAGATCAAAAAGGCCTACCGACGCATGGCACTCCGCTTCCACCCTGACAAGAACACGGACCCCAACGCGGAGGAGAAGTTCAAGGAAATCGCAGAGGCTTATGAGGTGCTCAGCGACCCCAAGAAAAGGGTTGTCTACGATCAGCTGGGAGAAGAAGGTGAGGATTCTGTCTATCTGATAATTGAGTGAAAGATTTCATAGAGCGCAGGCAGAAAACCCTTCAGGGCTCTGTGTATGAGCCCTCTGGAACAGTTCTAATATTAAGGTGGTGAGCTTCAGTCGCTGAAGTAATAATTCTCTCCATGTTGTTTATGTTTATTTGCAGGAATGTGTGTGATTGTTAGGTATTAGTGTCAGCAACATTTACCAAGACTAATATGCCATAATCTACCCAAATACAAGTGTATTGTGTGTGATTGCTGACTGGCAGATGGTTTAAGATCATGCAGTGGTTGAGATATGAATAAAAGCAGCTGCTTTAGTTTGCAGTTGCATAGGTATATATGTGTATTTTTGTGAGATTGTGACCTGGTATTTCATGTGTTCCTTCAGCACTGTTGGAGGATCAGTAATGATGTGGGATTTTTTTACCGCCCACTTGTGCTCCTTTCCTCTCGCTGCTGTTACCACTCAGTGTGTTTTAAACAGCCAGGTCCTGTGTTCGGTATCTAACTTTGTGTTTATGGTTGTCTTCAGCCGATGGGTGTTTGAGTGTGTGCACATAAAGTCCATGTTTTTATCACGTATTTCTCTTTGCAGGTTTGAAGACGGGGGGTAGCAGCTCTTCAGGCGCTCCTGGCAACTCAACATACCACTACACTTTCCACGGAGACCCCCACGCCACCTTTGCCTCTTTCTTCGGTGGCTCCAACCCCTTTGATATGTTTTTTGGCGCCAACCGCAGCCACAGCCGCTCCAATGGGTTCGCCTTCCACAACGACCACAGTAACGGCGTGGAGCAGGATGCAGAAATGGATGAGGATGACCCCTTTGCTCATTTTGGAAGACAGTCTGGCTTTCCAGGTGGGATGAGCAATGGATTCCCGGGGGAGGGTCGCAGGAGGAGGGGAGCACCATCTGAACGTTTGGGGACCAGCCGAAAGCAGCAGGATGCTCCAGTGGTCCACGAGCTGAAGGTTTCACTGGAAGAGATCTTCCATGGCTGCACCAAGCGCATGAAGATCACCCGCCGCAGGCTGAACCCTGATGGGCGGAGCATGAGGACGGAAGACAAGATCCTCAACATAGTCATCAAAAAGGGCTGGAAGGAAGGAACCAAAATTACCTTCCCAAAGGAGGGAGACGAGACCCCCGAGAACATTCCTGCTGACATAGTGTTTGTGCTTAAAGACAAAGGGCATGCCCTCTTCAGGAGAGACGGTTCCAATATCATTCATAACTGCAAGATAAGTCTAAAAGAGGTGTGTATAACTTTTTTGTTTTCCTACGCCATGTTTTGCTCTTGCATTGTAGTTTTCTTTGTAGATTAGCAGATAATTTTTCAGGGGTCAAGAGAAATTTGAAGCATTTATGCAACTGGAGATGTTTCAAGCTCTTCTTCTTTATTGCTCTTTTGCAGTCTAACTGCTTCTGCATGCTTTGTGCTAGTTTAGCCACACAGCTCATTCAAAAGATGGGTGCTATGACTTTTTTTTAGCTTCTGTACTTTTGAAAATCTTTAACTTAATTTGCAAATATTTTCACCATGGAACTACATTCAGATCTCTTCAGTTCCTTCAACAACATTTTTCTATTTGAAATCTACTTGATGCGGCTGTGATAGCTCGACTTGGGATTGAAAAGTGGCAAGTTCAGTTCTCCTCCCCACCGTGCTCATATGCCCTGATGTCCTTGAGCAAGACACCCATTCTCCCCAGGTGCTTACACCGCTGCCCACTGCTCCACTTGGGTGTGTCACGTGTGTGATGGGTTCAATGCAGAGCACAAATTTCATCAATGTATGAAAACATGCAATGATGACAATACATAACACTTTCAAAATGGCTCTGTTTTTGTTTTCTATTTGTCTTTTAGCTACTATTCTGCAACTTCTAGGTTTTAGCCATTCTTACGTTTAGCTTTAAACTAGCTTTTTTCCTACTCTAAGCTATTAGCTGTTTATTTTAGCTTACAGCTAGTGCTTTGCTCCTTTTAGGTTTTAGTTGGTGCTTTCTTATTTTAGCTTCAACAAGTCAGTTTCATCTTCTGGAATTTTCAGAAGTCATTCAGCATTTAGCATTTACTTTCTATTTTCTGCAGATTTTTTTTTTTTTTCTCAATTTTTTTCTTAAAACTGGTACATCAGTGGCTCATGCAGAAACATGCCACATGTCATTTATTGGTAGGATTATGTCCTAAGCAGGATGTTGTGCGTGTCTATCAATGCAGTTGTTGCTGGAGTGCAGGATCAGTAGCTGCAGAGTCTCTTGTCAGTGTGGTGTGAGAGAAGCAGCAGGAATGTGGTGTGCTTGTGTGACAGGCATGCAGCCATCTGCCTCACTTGTTCTGTGCAGCTGTATGAAATCATATACTTAAACACCTCAGGACATCACACAAACTCGCATGCAACTGCATCTGCATCTTCAAGCCTATTTGCAAACACATTCAGATAAAGATGGATGGTAGTGTCGCAGGGGTGACAGTCCAGGCTGCTATAAATGTGGCTGTCAGGACATTTAATTGGCCCCTCCTGCAGTGTGAGGGCAACAAGTTCAGCTCAGCTTTAATGTTTCTAATAATGTTGCTGCTATCTTGCCTGCAGTTCACATGCCTGGTCTAATAGCAGGTGTTCTCAAAGCGCCAGAGGTTTCAGTGGAGTTCTTTGTACACAATCCATCCTCATTTCACCAGTTTGTCTGTGAAAGCTTTGCAGAGCCTTGCAAATCACCACAGAAGTAATGCAGTGAAAAGAAAAGCAATGGCTTCACACAGCACAGAGTAGAAGATATTAGTGTTTTCTGAGTTGCATTAAGCAGGAGATGGTACTTAATTAAACCTGCACAGTGATTAAGTTTGCAATGTAGAACTCCCACGCTGCTAAAACCTTCTCCCCTTACCAAGGGTGGATGAGAGACTTACGTCTGATGGACCTAAACACAAGATGGGGTAAGGGAAGGAAAGATGAAGCAGGGGTGGGGAATGTGTCCAGGGAATATTATGGAAGTGGGTCAGATGATTTAGTTTCCAAAGCAAATAGGAGCTCATATTGCAGTGCTCTTTTCTGCTCTGCTTCCTCTGAAGATGTAAAACTAAAAAAATGCTGCAGTAAAAACAGAGTACAACACGCACTCTACACAGTACACAACCTTCTACTTATTAATGAACACAACATTCAGTGCATTAATAGATAATTCAAGGATTCAAGGTTCTTTATTTGTCATTCATACCACATGTGGTACATGTGGTGGAACGAAATTGTGTACACAGAATCCCATTTACATCCAACAAAAGTATAAAATGTAAAAGAAAAAGAGTAATAAGATCTAAGATATGAACTAAGAAAAACGTTAACTAACAATACACTAAGCACTAGTAGTCCAAAAACAATATACCGAACAGCAGCATTGCAACATTTGTTCCGTCTGAAGTCCACGACCATCCCCTTCGTCTTCTTCACATTGATGTGAAGGTTGTTCTTCCTGCACCAGCTCTCCAGGTGTTCCACCTCATGCCTGTAGCTCAGAGTGAAAGAGAGTCAGAGAGATTTATTTGTCATACATGTGGTACATGTGGTGGAACGAGATTATGTACACAGGGTCCCAATTACATCCCACAATAAAATGTAAAAGGAAAAACAGTAATAAGATCTAAGATATGAACTAAGAAAAACATCAACTAAAATACTGTAAGCACTAATAGCATTAAAAACATGTCGAGCAGCAGCACGAACATGAGTCTGTGTGAGCAGATGAGCACGCATGAACACAGCAACATTGAAACAGATCAGCAGAAACATGAAACATATCAGCAGCAACATGAAACAGATCAGCAGCATCATGATGTAATTTTTCACAGTGATTATCCTGATTAGAGATTCATGAGTCTAACAGCCTCAGGGTAGAAGCTGTTCCTCAGTCTAGTGGTTCTACACTTAATGCTCCTTAACCTCCTTCCTGAGGGAAGCGGGGCAAAAAGTGTGTGTGCTGGGTGAGTGGGGTCCTTCATGATGCAGGTGGCCCTGTTCCTGCAACTGAAGGTGTAGATGTCTGTGATGGTGGGGAGACTGACTCCAACAGTCTTCTGTGCAGCCTTCACCACTCTCTGCAAAACTTTTCTTTCTGCAGCTGTGCAGCCTCCATGCCACACGTTGATGCTGGAGCGCAGGATGCTCTCCACTTAACACCTTTAGAAGGAGATGAGGACTGAGCTTCCCTGACCAGCTTGCCTCAGCTGCCTGAGGAAGTAGAGTCTCTGATGAGCTTTCTTGATCAGGCGGGTAGTGTTGTTGCTAGCTGGACTCATCATTGTTTGTGATGCATCCAACCACTGCTGTATCGTCTGCAAACTTTACAATAAGTAAAGTGCACCTACCCATCCAGCCTGGATGGGTAGGTGCACAGTCATACGTGAGCAGAGTGAACAGGAGAGGACTCAGCACACAGCCCTTAGGGGAGCCAGTGCTGAGGGTTATGGTGGAGGAGGAGAAGTTGTGGATCCTCACAGACTGCAGTCTGTTTGTTGACCCAGTTGCAAATGGAGGGGCTTAGTCCTAGTGTGAATAGTTTGTCCATCAGGGTTTGAGGGATCATGGTATTGAAGGCAGATGTGAAGTCCACAAAGAGCATACGGACGTAGGAGTCCTTCTGCTCCAGGTGGGTGAGAGCAGTGTGGACCACAGAGGAGATGGCATCTTCTGTTGATCAATTCTCATGGTATGCATACTGGTGAGGGTCCTCGTTGATGTGGTTGTTATGATGTGGGTCATGACCAATTTTTCTAAACATTTAGCGACTATCAGGGTGAGGGCTACTGGCTGATAGTCATTCAAACCAGTCACTGTAAAGCTCTTTGGGACTGGGATGATGGTGGTGGTCTTCAGGCAGGTGGGAACTGTTGACCGGATGAGGGAGGAGTTAAAGATGTCGGCCAGCACCTATCAGAGCTGATCGGTACAGTCTTTCAGCATCTTCTTGGATGTTGTCTGGGCCAGTTGCTTTGTGAGGGTTAATTCTTCTGAAAGTACTCCTTACTTCTGCTGAGGTCACGCTGATAAGCTCTTCATCCGGTGATGAGGTGAGTTTGGAGCTGAGTGGTCTGTTCGGGTCTTCAAAATGTGCGTAGAACCTGTTGAGGGCATCAGGCAGAGATGAGTCTCTAGGACATTGTTCACTTGTGCCTGTATCTGTTATACACTTAATGCCCCTCTACATGCTCCGTGGGTCTTGGTTATATTATAACCAAGCCAACATGCTAATTACTTCTAAAAATTAATAAAAGGCTAGTGCTCCTTCAGAGGTTCAAAAACAGAAGTGGAAGGTTAAGACGCATCATGTATGACAAAATAATGTTGTCATATTTTGACTATTAGAAGGTTTCTCAGCAATTTAGTTGCTCAGATTTGTTTGTTGCTAGAAGCAAGCCTCAATGAACATTCTTATTGCTGCCAAAACTGTTTGACAGTTTATGAAACTCCTGGAAGACTCTTTCCATCCTGCAGGTTCTTCTCAGTGACAGCCACCAGATGCAACAAGAGACTGTAGCTCAGATTTGATTCTTAACCCAAACTATATCTGAATCTTTTAAGACACAACATGGTGATAATGACAGCCCTGCAGTGTGCCTGTGTCATCTGATGGAGTGCTTCTTGATGCTTTTCTCACTACAGCAGCAAAAACCCACATGCAGAAAAAAGCAAGTGCTAACTGTGGTGGATGCCTTTTGACAGCTCTGCCGTCAGGTAAATTGTAGATTTATGGAAATGAGGAGGCACATGCATTTTTAGCAGCTATTGTGTTTTAATCCTGCCATGTCCGCCATCATCGTTTGCTGCCAGTTCCTAAGACAAGCTGGGCAAACAGCCCACAGTGTTGTGAGGACACTTTGGATTGTGAATACATTTTCTGTTGCTCATTAAAGCAAAACACAGCTTCTTGGGTCAAGCACTTACTTGTGACAGTTATTATTAGGATATGTCCCTCAGAAAATAATTTAAATCAAGAGATGGACCTTTCAAATATAGTTAAAAGTGTGTGCTTGGTTGTTTGTGTCAGTCTCTTTGGTGGTGGTGTCTGAGCTGAGTCTTATGCAATCAGTGATCAGCTGGCAGTGTGTGTCGAGCGTCATGGCAACCTGTCCCTGTGTGTGAGAACTGTGTTTGTCAATGAGACTCTTTAGAAAAAGAAGATGAGCTAAGTTAAATCACAACGTAGATGGTGGGTTGAAGGATGATGATGATGTCATTGCCTGGAAATCTGTTTTCCTCTGATGGGCTGCTTAACTTGAACTTTTGAGGTCCACATTCATGTTTACACTGTTGGACTTGAAATAAATGGAGATAGGAGTTAAGAAGTTCAGAAAAAAAATCAACGTAATTCTTAAATTTATGTACAATAGCAGCTTTATTAATTTGATTATTCTTCTTCTTTTGGCTTTTCCCTCTTCAGGAGTGGCCAAAGCGAGTCATTCTCCTCCATATCACTCTGTCCCCACTCCATCTACCTCCATGTCCTCTCTAACTGCATCCATATATCTCCTCTTTGTCTTTTTCCTGGCAGCTGCGTTTCTAACATGTACCAACATACCCACTGTCCCTCCTCTGGACATGTCCAAACCATCTCAGTCTGGCCTCTCTAACTTTATCTCCCAGTTGTTCAACTTGTGCTGTACCTCTCATTCTCATATCTCATCTCTCATATCTTATCCATTCTTGTCACTCCTAAGGAGAACCTCAACATCTTCATTTCTGCCACTTCCAGTTCTTTCTCCTGTCTTGTTGTCAATGCCACTGTCTCCAGAACATACAACATAACTGGATTCACCACCACTAGTTTGTAAACTAAAATTTTGACCTTTGCTGATACCCTTTTGTCACAAATCACTCCTGAAACTTTTCTCCTGAAACATTTCTCCATCCACTCCATCCTGCCTGGATTCTTTTTTTCAACTCTTTACCACACTCCCCATTGTCCTGGACAGTGAACCCCAAGTACTTGAAGTCCTGCACCTTTGTGACCTCTGCTCCTTGTAGCCTCACTCTTCCACCGGCCTCCCTCTCATTCACACATGTACTCTGTCTTACTATGGCTGACTTTCATTCCTCTGCTTTCAAGTGCAAACCTCCATCTCTCTAAGTTCTCTTCCACCTGTTCCCTGTTCTTTCCACAGATCACAATGTCATCTGCAAACATCATAGTCAACAGGAATTCGACTGAACTCATCTGTTAGTCAGTCCATCACAAGAGCAAAACAAGAAGGGGCTCAGAGCTGATCCTTGATGCACTCCCACCTCCACCTTGAAGCTATCTGTCACTCCTAAAGCACATCTCACCACTGTCCTGCTTTCCTCATATATGTCCTGTACCAGTCTAACATACTTCTCTGCCACAAATACACAATGGAGTTCTTTCTGACTCTCTCTGTACTTTGCCATCTGCATACTAAAAGCAAAGATGGCGTCCGTGGTGCTCTTTCTTGGCATGAAACCATACTGCTGCTCACAGATAATCACCTCTCATCTAAGTCTTGCTTCCACAACTCTCTCCCAGATCTTCATTGTGTGACTCATCAACTAATTCCCCTGTAGTTGCTACAACTCTGTACATCATCTTTGTTCTTAAAAATGGGCACCAGCACACTTCTTCATTCCTCAGGCATTTTCTCACTCTCAAATATGTCATTGAATATTTGAGTCAAAAACCTCACTGCCATCTCTCCAAGACATTTCCAAATCTCCACTGGTATGTCATCAGGTCCTACCGCCTTCCTCTTCTTCATTCTTTTCAGAGCTTTCAGGCCTTCACCCTCACTAATATTTCCCACTTCCTGGTTCACAGTTTCTATGACCTCTACTCTTCTTTCTCTTTCATTCTCTTCATTCATTAGCCCCTCTAAGTACTCCTTCCATCTTCCCATCACACTCTCCTCACTTGTTAGAACATTACAATTCCTATCTTTAACAAGCCTAACCTGTTGCACATCCTTTCCAGCCCAGTCCTTTTATCTCACCAACCAGTACAAGTCCTTCTTGCCCTCTTTAGTGTCCAGGCTCCCATGCAACTCATCAAACGCCTTCTGTTTTGTATTTGCTACCTCCCTCTTTGTTCTACAGTGCATCTCCTTATATTCCTGGCTCCTCTCTTCAGTCCTCTCATTGTCATATTTCTTCTTGGCTAACCTCTTTCTTTGAATAACTTCCTGCACTTCATATTATGTAAATTTGATTTTAAACACACATAATCTGAAAAGTAGGATATTCTTAAATGTAATATGCATTACTCAGACTCTTTAATCATTTGATTATTTTTACTTGTATTCAACCCATGTATTCATTATCTCCTGGGTGGTCCATCCCTTGATGAGTTTTCCACATTAGCCAATAGCCAGTGGGTTACTCTGACAGTTTTCTCACTTCTTCAGGTACTTCTTAATAATATTAGGTGCCCTTTTAAATGGAAACATGTGCATAAGATGCATAACCATGTCACAATGTTTGTAAAATACAACTTTCCAAATGATGTGGCTGGTGTTTTCAACTTTAAATCAGGTTGTTTGTGTGGTGTTATTCTGGAGTTACTATAGCATGAACTCTCATTTCTTGATTTATAGACATTTATATATTTTCAGATTTATATTGTTCATGACATCATTGACTTTCTGACATTCATAACTGCAAAACTTATATTAATACATTTTTATCCATTTTAGTGGACACATTTCAATATTCACTTTACAAAAAAAAAAACTCAGACAAAGTGCAGACAATAATTTACGACTGGAAAAGGAGCAGGAAGATGAAAAAAATTCATAAAGAGCTCAGTAATTCTAAATTAGCAAAATATGTTTATACAAATCTCCTTTTTTTCTAAATTATTTCTCAACTCAAACCCCAAAATACAAAATCAACTGCAAACAATGTCATTAACCAGTTCTAGGGTCACATTATTCTACTTTTTAAATATAATATTATCGTTGTCGTTGTTGAATAATATTAAAATAACTTTTTAAGTCATCCTGATTTTTTCATATTTTTATTCTGTGTGCTGAAACTCAAATTTATTTCAGCATATGAACTTCAACATCAATTTTTCTTTGTCATATTTTTATCATAGAAAACAATTAATATTTTTATTAATAAAAATTAACTATTAAAACACTTTGGCAATAATTTCTATTGAACAATATTCTGTATGTATTATCATACACTATCTTTAGATCAGATTTGATTATTCTACCTTGTTTTATGACCAAATATCTGCCCAGCCTAACCCTATGTCTGTTTAATGGACTGAGGTAAAGACATTTTTGTGTTTACTGAGGTCGATTAGCTGCGGTGGCCATCTTGAATCAAGTTGACATCAAATGTAATCAGTTTGTGGATGTGCATCCAGTTACTGTAGTCTGAGAAGTTTACTGGTTCATGGCACGCACGTACACCCACACACACACACACACGCACGCACACACACATACACACACACACACACACACACACAAGCAATTACCTTATTGCCAGTGTGCCTGAGCTAACCCTTTACAATATGCAACCATTCGTAACAACTTTCCATTTGTGTCTTCACATCTGACTTTATCATGTGTACTAATTTTGTTATTCTTATTACTTTATTAATAAGTCTGTTATTTATGAAGAAATTTGTTCAGTTGAAACAGGCGGTTCTGTTCAGTGTAAATGTGGTGAATGATGCTCAGTGGAAACCCTGTGAAGCCGTTACACCCACACGTCTCAACACTCGGGCTGGATTCATGCAGCACTGTGATAAGAAGGACACACAAGTGTGTAAAAGTGTGTGTGTGCGCACGGGCATGACTGTGGATCTTACGAGCCCTCCAACTATTTACGAGCTCAGCCGATTTCTGCCTCACTTCATTAACCCGAGATATGAGACAGTTACTAAAATTAGCCTCGTGTGCAACGCTGACACACTTACACACACACACCAACCCACAACTGAAAGCATTTCCCCCTGCCAAGCTCCCAATGTTCCTGTTCCAGAGGCTCCTCACATCCTACAGTGCTGTGCTCCAGTTGCTAAACCATTTGACAAGGAAGATGCTTTCGTCCTGCATTTCTTGGACACATTTCACACCATACAGAAAACTCAACAAAGGTTGCAGTGGAGAAGATAAACTGGTTTGACCTCATGGAAACATTAAGTCACTGAGATATTTCTGGCTTTGGCTTGTCATCCTTTCTAAAGATATTAACCCGTTGTGTCTCCTCTCCTCCCCAGGCGTTGTGTGGCTGCACTCTTAGTATTCCCACGGTGGAAAACCGCGTCATTTCGCTGCCCTGTCACGACATCATCAAGCCTGGGACGGTCAAGCGTCTCAGAGGAGAAGGCCTTCCTCTCCCCAAGAACCCTTCTCAGCGCGGTGATCTCATCGTGGAGTTCTCTATACGTTTCCCCGACAGAATCCCCCCTCAGTCCAGAGAGATTATCAGACAACACCTTCCCCAGTCGTAGAAACGCACGTCAGATTTCTACACCTACGGAGCAACACTCTACAAACTGCACACTGGAAAAACTACCCACAACGCTGCCTCATCTGCTCCTCCAACCCCCAGTGTCCTGTCAGTGCATTCAATGTAAACCAGATGGACAGTATGGAAGGATGAAGAACGTCAGATCAGGATCTGTTTCATTTTAAACACACTTCTTTTGTCGTCACATGTAAAACTGTGGCTTTTACTGAACCTTCTTTTCTGAGCAGGTTTTACAGATAGGAATGGTTTTATAAGCTGTGCATCCTCGTCTTTTTGTCATACGTACTTTTAAAAAGGCAACTTTTTTTTTTTCCAGATTTTTTTTCCCAAAAGTTTTTAAAAGGGATGTTTGTATTTCTATCTAGACTGTACCAGCAACTTCCATGTGTCCAGTAAAACCCTGTGCCCCTTTTTTTTTAACAAAACAATTCCCCTGACATTTGCTTTTCTAATGTATTCTGTACAATATATCTGAAGGATCCAGGCTCTTTAGTACAAACCCAATTAGGACAGAGTTAAGACATGGTGTAAAATGTTTTTTAAAAATCTGAATGTAATGATTTTCAAACCTTATAAACCCATTATTTATTCACAATGGAACATATCAAACATATCACATGATTAAATGAAGAAATTGTATAATTTACTGAAAAAAAAAGTAAAAATGTGTAGAGGTTCACCATTCATTCAATCTTTATTTAGACAGGTTAATCCCATTGAGCCTTGAGGACTCATTTACAAGAGAGACCTGATTTTAACAAAAAGTGATGAAAACAACCACAACAACAATAGACAATCATAAAAGAGGCATACAGATTTTTCTTTTTTTTTCTTCTTCAAATTAAAGTAAGATGGCAAAAAAGTAGCAAAAAACAGCTATATTCTAAGGCAAATGTAGAAAACTAAAAACAGAAACATATCTGCATTGGTCCTTGCCAGGAGTCCAACAGATGCTTAAAGCCACTTAGAGAGGTCAAGGTCGAGAACTTCAGATCTTTTTGTAAGATATTCCAGGAAACAGGAGCAGAGTAGGAGAAGGCCCTTTTACCAAGTTCAGTCTGCACTGAGGGGACACTGCAGGTAATAATGTCCTGAGAGCGCACGCTGTAGCTGCACTCATGCAGAGACATGTAGGAGGAGATGTATGAAGGCAGCAGACCAAGAAGTGATTTGAAGATGAAAATGTACCAGTGAGAGAGTCTGCATGAAGTTAATAATGTCCAGTTAACCAGTGAATACAGGGTGCAGTGATGGGTACGATACTCACAGCCAGTTATGAATCAATCATCACCAGTCTGCTAAAAACTAAAAAAATAAGAATAATTTCAGAATAATTCTCAATGGAAAATTGTCGGGACTTAAAAAATCCAATCATATAAATTTCAGAATATCAAACAATTTTGAGAATCTGGAGAAACCACAGATGCCATGCCCTCAATAATAAAGAGGAGAGGGACCTTCGAGCCTCAGTTAAAAAATCTGCCTCTCTGATGATATGGAGGTGCATTAGTGCCTATGGCATGGGGAGCTTACACATCCGGAAAGGCACCATTAATGCAGAAAAGTATATACAGGTTTTAGAACAACATAACTAGAACTTCACCACTTGCTCTTCTCGAGGGCGTACGCTTTTCCTCCCCTCTCCCTCCTCCGCTTTGCTTTTGCTCTGTCCTGTCTGTGAAACTGCTTCAGAGCCTCTCTCTACATACTGTATCTTCTGAACTTTAATTTTTTGCTATGGATCTGGTCAGCTGATCTCAACACAGTTGATAAAATTTTTGAGAAGACAAGCTTCAGACGAGACGACTTGCCCTAATGACACGCACGCAGCTGGATATGTCATTGATTCCTGGGGCGATTGGAAGGTGATGTGTCTATCTCTGCTGTCCATCGAGGATGTTGAAGATGCATATATAATTGGATTTATGATAACAGGTTTCCTGCTTTTTGGAATTGGTCGGTTCCTGGTTTATCAATAAACAAGGAAGTCGTCGGCAAAAAATTTGGCCCTGGTCAGGCTGCCTGCCTTATATGATGGTTTGCTCCGTTCCATCGGGCGCCCAAACTCAATTGCTTTGCGAACTGAACCATTAGGATTCACTGGCAGGATTGATCAGATATTGGGGAATACTCTCAGGCACAGACCAGCAGTGTGTCCACTTAATTTGGACGTTTGGGATTCGTGAGGACCAGCAAAGGCTCAAGGCAGACATAAATCAGTAAAGTTGTGCCTGTTCCCAAAACAAATGTTGTTTATCTGAATGTGGCTCCTCGGCTGACAGGCCACCTTATCTCAATTCACCTGGAGGCCCTGTAAATTTGATGCTCTGCACCTTCCCCTCTCACCGAGGAAGTCTGTGGACCTATCAGAGGGACCCGGCTGAATAAACATTGTGTCATCATTTCAGGACTCTTGGATTCTCTCTGGAGCTTTCCTGGGTCGACCTCGACACCCCTCGAGAGTGTTTATGGATCTCTCCAGAGGGAACTGACTGATTATATCATTCTTATCAGAACTCCTACAGTGCCTCTGGAGAGTCCTTGGACACGCTCACCACTCTTGTCATCTCCCCTCCCCTGCAGATTCCCCCTGTCTCTATGTGCGGGGTGTTTTTTTCAATTTCAGGCCCTCTCTCCTCGGCCAAGAAGTGAGAGTTTGATAGGAATTTATTTGTCTCCAAATCCTATACATGTGTCACTTTCATTACTTTTTGTCTTTCTAAACAGGTCTCACTTGTTAATGAGTCTTTGAGGCTCAATGTGATTTATCTGTGTTAATAAAGGTTGAATGAATATATGTTCCCATCAAGATTACCTATTTTCAGGGAAAGTCTTGCATATTTCAGCAAGACGATGCTAAGCCACATACTGCATTCATCACAACAACGTGGCAGAAGAGTCCAGCTGCTGAACTGACCTGCCTGCAGTCCAGAACTCGTCAACTGAAAGCATTTGACACATCACAAAACAAAATATTCCAGAAAAAAAAAGATCCAGAACTGTTGGAACATCTTGAGTCCTCAGTCAGACGAGAATGGGACAACGGTTCCCTCCAAAAACTCAACCCACTGGTCTCAGGTCCTGGATGTTTACAGACTGATGTTAAAAGAAGACGGGATGCTTCATGGTGATACATATGAACATGTCCTATCTGTAAAATGTGCTGAGGCTGTCAAATTCAAAATTAACTTCTTTTTATTCCCTAAAAAATATAAACGTACTATTTCATAGTTTATACATTTTGACATGCTTACTATGTTCCACTGTGAATAAAATAAGAATTTATAACATTTTAAAATTATTGCATTTAGGTTTTTTTTTTTTTACATTTTATTTATTTTATACAACATCCCAACTTTTTCAAAATTGGGTTGTATGAAAAGCTTTTCCCCTAAATTAGTTGCATTCATAACAATTTGTATGAGCTCATCTTTGCTGAATTGAACAATCTGGGAATGACAATCATTTACAGCAACAGCCTGGATTTTACATTCTGGTCCTAACGTGGGTGCTTTCCCTTCTGAGCTGCGTGGCTGCCAATAACCAATTAGCCTGATCAGTTTCTAAGGGACATGCAGGTGCCTTAGCCCAAAGTCCTATCACATACGTGAACGCAGGCCACACTGTAAGAATTATCTACAAACAGCCATGTTTTGTGCACAACAAACTATGTCCTATGCTGTGTCACTAATTCCTACCAGGAATGAACATTTTTAGGAAAACGGAAATGTAAAGTTTATATTGTACTGTATGTGCCGTGAGCCAGGAGGTTTTTCACGAGCGATTGGTTCCAAGAATGAAGGTTTTTATTTTTTTGGTCTTCGATGTAAAATGCCATAAAAGTGACAGTTGATTTTCTCAGAGGGAAGGACGCAAGGCTTTATCTTTTAAAGTAATTAGTCATGGTTACGCTGACCAACTCTGCTTTGTTGTGTGTTCTTCTCCACTCCTGTGGCTTTTTGAAGGCCATGCCTTGGTGCTAATGTGAGCGGTGCCAAAAAATAAACCACACCGGCGATTGCTTTTTGGCTTGTGATTTGACAACAGCTTCTAGCATCTGTAACATCTGTAATTGGAACTTTACATCTATTCAGCCCGTAGGAAGCCTTGTGTGGGAAGCAGGCTTTTTGTAAGCAGCTGTTCTCTGTCTCAGCTGCAGGCGGGGAGGCGCTGAAACCTCCTCAGCTCCTCCTGGTGGAGTTTACAGCAATGATGAAATGTGTGTATGAGCATGAGTTGTGCAGGAAGTTTCAAAGGTCATATACGTGTGTACATTTTGCACAAAAACTGTTTAAATGCATTATAAATAAATAGTACTGTTGTGTAAAGCCTGTGAGATGATGGGAGAGAATTGAACGTCTGAATGTGTGGTTGTCCTGCTGCTGAGACCGTCACTGCTCGTCAGCTTTGGACAAAACTGAACAGTATTTATTAACTTTTAATAATGGAGCAAATAAACCAAATGTGTGAAGTTCAGTCTGTGCCGCTCCAGTTTGTTCTGCGTCAGCTACACTCTGACTTTGTCGTGATGTTTTCCTCCAGACTTGGTGCTTATGAGTGAGAATCTTTGTGGCCAAATAAGGATGTTTACTTTGAAGTAGGAGACCTGGGATTTCAAATCCGTTTAGTTCTCTGATCATTCACACAAAGGTATATTCTGATTGTGGTAAATCTGTTAAAAATAAAATAAAATAGGTATGTTTAAGCAGATTATGTCATATTTTGTCATTACATGAGGAGCAGTCTTATGCAGAATAAGTAATTTTATTTGGAAACATTTTTGTGGATTTTTAAATGCTTTAAATCTTTATTACAATTGTAATTGTCATATATTTTGTTAATTAAGAGAAGCATCTGAGCGCGTTTGTGCATCTTCACTGAGCTGGTGATTCATGTAGAGCAGAGGAGTCCAAACGTTTGGCCAGAACTCTCTAGATGAAAGGACTCGTGGGCCAGAAATTTTTTTAATTTAAGAAAAAA